AATCACTAGAGTTCTACTATTACTTTTTTTTTTGCCTTTTTTGGGTCCCACCCAGCAATGCACAGGGGTTCCTCCTGGCTCTGTGCTCAGGAATTACCCCTGGTGGTGCTCAGGGGACCATATGGGATGCTGGGAATCGAACCCGGGTTGGCCGCGTGCAAGGCAAACGCCCTACCCGCTGTGCTATTGCTCCAGCCTCTCTACTATTACTTTTTGAGAAGTCTCTATACTATTTTTCATACAGATCGAAGCAGACTACATTCCAACAATGAATGAAGGTTTCCACCACGTCGTTTTTCACCACGTCCCCACCAACATTGGTTGCTTCCAGTCTTTTTGATATAAGCCAGAGTGGGGTTTTTCTTCGGGGCCATACCAGCTGTGTTCAGAGCTTAATCCTTAGCTCTGCGCTCAAAAGACCAATTGTGGTGCTAGAGATTGAACCCAGATCAGATGCATGCAAGGCAAACACCTTAAACCCATACCATCTTCCTGGTTCTGAACAGTCATTTCTTACAGGGTCAAACTTAGGAACAGGGCAGGGGTCAGAGTGATAGTACAGTGGGCAGGTAACTTGCCTTAGATGTGGCCAACCCATGTTCAATCCCCAGTACCCAATACGGCGCCCAAACCCTGACAGGAATGATCCCTGAGTTCAGAGCTAGGAATACGCTCAGAGCACATCCAGAGCAACCAAATAAAATCCTACCTTCCCTCAAACACCCTCACCAGCAAAAAAGAAAAAATTAACACAGGAATGGGGATAGATAGCAATCAAGAAAAACAGGTTTGGGTGATTTGGGTGGGGGGTACGGTGTTTAGGTTTTAGGGATTTCTTTCCTTTGGGAGTCACACTCAGTGATGCTCAGGGGTTATTCCTGGCTGCGCTTGGTGGACCATATGGGATCCAAGGATGGGTCAGCTGTGTGCAAGACAAGCACCTACCTGCTGTACTATCACTCAGGCCCCTAGAAAACAGAGTTTTTTTAATTATAAGACTTTTCAGAGACCTCAGTATTTGACTATACATAGTAATATCTCTAGGAAGGAATTGCAGAATGTTTCAAAATTTTAACTAGTAGAACTGTATTTCTTCTTTAGGGGGAAGCAGGCGGAGTATTTGGGGCTACACCCAGCAATACCCGGGCTATTGTTGGATCTTGCTTGAAAGTGACACCTGGCAGTGTTCAGGGGATCATAAACAGTGCTGGAGATTCGAACCAGGGTCAAATGCATATAAGGCAAGTACCTTACATCCTATACTCTCTCTCTTGCTTAGTCACTGTATTCCTACTACGTATTTTCTACTATATTTCTATAAAACACCCCTTGAGCAAAGGCATGTTTCCTGCTAGGTGAAATAGTAATTTAAGGATACAGGTTTTCAAATCAAACTATATAGATTTTAATTCTAAGTCCATCAATCCCCAACTGACCTTCTCTATGCCTGTATCCCTCTAAATAAGAATACTAAGCTCACAAGGCATTTATGAGACTGCATGAATACACACACATACACGTATATAACATCTGAAATCACTAGTATAGTTGACACTTAGATAATGGGCTGGAGTGATAGCACAGCCGTAGGGCGTTCGCCTTACAAGCGGCCAACATGGCCGACCCGAGTTCGATTCCTCCGCCCCTCTCGGAGAGCCCGGCAAGCTACCGAGAGTATTCGATATGCCAGACACAGTAACAACAAAGTCTCCAATGGAGACGTTACTGGGCCCGCTCGAGCAAATCGACGATCAACGGGAGGGCCTTTACTTACTTACTTTACTTAGATAATTGAGTTTGGACTTCGCAGATCCACTTATTCATAAATTTTCCTATAAAGACAACTTTAATTGGTATTTCCCTTACGACTTAACATTTAATCTATTACCTTACTGTAAGAATATGTATAAATACATGGTACATTTTAAATATGTTAATCAGCTGAGTTATCCTAAGCGTTTCAGTCAACAGCAGGTTATTAGCAGTTAAATTTTAGGGAAGTCAAAGTTAATCATGAATTTTTGACTGCCCGGAGTCAGTGGAAACAGAAACCCATAACTCCTGCATTGTTCAAGGGTCAACTGTATCTGCTTTCCCTTCAAGTCGTTCCTCCTGGATGCTCTTTCTGGCCACAGACTCCAAATTCTGTAAGAGCAGAACAGGAAAGATGCTATTAAGAGAAACACATTCCAGTTATGCCAGCTGCTGCCTACATTCCCTTGGTGTCTCTAGGGGGAAGACGGAGAAGTGCTTAGAACTAGTTACTGGGTCAGAGGGAAAGGACAAAGGTCAAGGCGCTTGCTAGCATGCAACTGTGACCATGACCCTGGTTTGCAGCTGGGCACCACCCATGTCCCCTAAGCACTGTCTGGTATGTTCCCTAAGTACCGCTGGAGTACTATGGCCCCCAAACTAAAAAATAACAATTGACTAGTTTAAATGGAAATAGATTATGGTGGTCACTATCTTCATTATTTTGAAGAATTGGAAGAACTTATACTTGCAAAACAATACTGGTCTAACCAAATTCTACAAAATTGGCATTGCTTACCCAAACTACAAAGCTGTAACTATCATTTAAACTGTTTCTTGGCATAAGCACAGAAGTCACAATGTAGAAGGGAAATTAGGCAATTCACAATACCACCCACTTTCTATAAAGGTATTATGTATGTGCACACATACTGTGCACACGTGTGAATCTGCGAGAGGTACGCCATGCAGCTAAATGTCCTGCTACAAATACTCAAAAAATAATTTTTTAAACCATGCATCCTTCCTTTCTTTGAAGTATGTAATTGTCCTTCATTTATCCAGTAGATAAATGTCCACCAGGATACAAATATTTCAAGGGAAGTTTGACTCTTCCACTGTCTTTTTTCTAAGTTGTGTGTTTTCCCCATTCATTCTATTTCACCATTTTTCACCTTTCCTCCTTAATTGCTCCCTGAATTTTTATCTTTCCGTAATAAAAGTAATTTGGGATACTTATATGCCGAAGTTTGTTCCTGCCCAAATGTTATCTCCACTTTACCAAGGAGGCTGCCACCTGGGCCACAGAGACCCACCTCTCAGCTCACAATTGCTCTTCTCCCGTGACTAATGGCACCAGCTCCAAGCTGAACAATAACCTGAAGATACAGGCTCATCTTCTCTCCCAGTCCGGAAAAGGTATTTTACTCCTCTGTACTTCTATTTTCGTAATTTGAAAAAGATACAGAATTAGGCAACAGTTTCAGGACTGTCCTCGCCCCCACCAATGTTTTTGTGATTTCTATTTCAGTGTTAAAACTGAACTTGTAAAGTAGTCCAATTATGAAATCGAGCCCTTCAACATTTCCCTCCCTCCCTTCTATGAACAATTTCAATCCGAAAGACTTAGGTTCAACCATGTCATACTGACACTCAAGGGTGATAGTGAGCATGTCAGAAACCAAAAGAAATGGGCAAGCTGGAATTGCTCGAGTTTTTGCATGGTGTTCTGCCTAACTCCTCGCCTCACTCTCTCCTAGCTTGGCTATACGGTATTACTTACGCCACATGCATCCAGTCCCCACTATGCATGAGATTAGCTGGGTATAAGACACAACCCAAAACATTTTCTTTACTTAGGCTGATACCTTCCACCATATGCAGAAAGAAAGAGACCAAAGGACAGGTATGGAAACTAGGCACGAACTTCCCCTATCAGGAAAGAACATGGAATCTTCAAAGATAGGTATTTTAACCACTGAGACATCAAAAGGAAACAGACCAGAAAGTGATACATGGCACAACCCAGTGTTCCTTCATCCCATTCCACCCACACATATCTTAGACAAATAATGATTTTGGAGTAAATACATTTATTGATACCCACTTTATATAGTTCAATGAAATCTATAAATATAAAAGCATTTTTCTTTTGGATATCACCAAGATCCATGTAAATACTCAACAGTCAGAATCATCTGCAGGAAGCACTCCAAGTCACACTGTTAGGTTACAGACCTGAATATACATATTTCATTAAACAGTGGCTCATATGTACTCAAGTGGTCCAGTGGCTTTGGAATATGACTACTGGGCATGTGGAATAAAAATGATGTGTAAGTTTAAATCAATGGAAAGAGTATCAACTATCAACATAAAAGAAATAATTATGATTTAATATAATAGGCAGAGAAGTAGGACAGTCGACACTCGGTGTCAGAATATGGAGAAGAGAATGTTTGACCCACACGCTGTGGCACTGTGTGTGCTCTCCCCCAGCACCCAAGGAGCGAGCAGTGCCCCTGTGCCTAGAGTCATCCCTGGTCAACCGAACAACACTTCTGAAAAAATCTAGAGAGCTTAGCAGGAAAGAATGGAGCAGCCACTATCAAGTTTAAAAAAAAAAAAATGTGAGCTAAATGTTACGACGTATTTCTCCCAAAGATGGAGGAGTTTGGGGAAAACATATTTTCTCAAATCCCATTGTTACACTGATCATGATTATTATCTAACGCAGGAGAAAGAACCCAGATTTTTGGTATCCCAAAAGCCAAGTGCAAAATTTTTCTCGTTTTAAAGTTTTTTCATCGATACTCTGTGGGAACTAACGCAGCAGCCACTGTTAAGCCCTGCTCTCAACTTAATGCAGCATAAAATTTTCTCATTTCGTCAGCAACAAATACAAGAACGTATTTCTGCAGTCAGATGACGTATCTTCCAAGTTGGCAAGCAAAAGCCTCAGGTCTCAGGTGTGCAAAGTCCAAAATAGAAATCTGAGAGGCAGTGTTAGAACTGAAGCAAGGCAGGATGTTTAGAGACTACTCAAATAAAAACCTAAGGGAAGCATATAAAAATTCAGTTCTATTATTTTTGACTGGTAACTGACAGCAACATTCCCTGGTAAGGATGGGCAGGTGGTTGTAATCTCCAGGTCCAGAATATCCCAATGACCTCACGTAGGACCCCTCAAAGGAGAAAAATACCCAAGTTCTGAGGTCTCTAGAATTTGTTTTTGCTGGGGGTTTTGCTTTTGTTTTTTGAAGAAGAGATAGCTTCAGTTGCACACCACAGGGGTTTTCGTCCAAGTAAGAAATTCGATCCCTTGTTCCTAGTGGGACAGGCACCGGACTCCCACAAGCGGCAACTCCCATGTCCTGTAGCACATGCTATCTGACCCTGGAGTGAAGAGTTAGCTGGCACAGAGCCCCAGCCACTGAATTCATGCTACATGGCGTTTCTCGGCGTGCCGTTGTGTGTCAATGCTTTCAGGCTGGGGGCACTGGTCTGATGACCACAGCTCCTGTGAGAAGTCACGCCCACCTCAAAAACCTCATGAATAGCTTTCCTGAAACAGTGGAAGTTGTAGTCTATTAAACCTGCAGAAGAGAAAGAGAAGATCAGGCACACTAAATGTCAATTGTGAAATGATCTGGAAATATTCAGTGACCCCAAAAAAGCTGACCAGCATTAAAAAATATTCAGGGCCAGGATGTTATAACCATGTGTGAAGTCCTAAATTCACTCCTTGGCACCATCAAGAAACTTTTCTTAAATAAACAACTATTCAGGAGTTGAATTTACCGCTCAAGTGTCAGGGCACATGCCTAGTGTGTGCAAGGCCTTAAACTCAATCCCCAATACCAGATATTCCCCTTAGCACCGCCAGCTGTGACTCTGGTAGCCCCAAACACCACAGCATAACTCTACTAAAAGGAAGTTTACCTAGAAAATTTACAATAAAATATAAAGACAAAGTAAAATACTTTTAAATCATCAAGATTCTTCTTTTACAAGTCCCTGAGGCAGCCAGTGACGTGTTAAAGAAAACAGGAAGAGTAACAGTCCGGCAAACTGCTCCATAGAGCCCTGGGATTGGGGCAGTGCCAGAGAGGACCAGCAGCACAGCCTTAGAGAACGTTTCTATATCTTCAGGCAGGACAGCTCCTTCACATGCTTTACTGCTTCCAGGGAAGAATTCAGTTGAATACAGAAACGGCTAATTTCCTACTAAATGTCCTTATTTCCCCTTCTTCCCCAGAAACAGTACATTGATTCTGGATGAGAACACAGGTGTTCAACTAAAGTATTACTCGTCCTCACAGTTAGGAATAGTCACTGAACCACTTGATCACTGAAATAAGGGAAAGTATGTGCGACCTTCTATGAAACCTCCCAAAAGGCCAGGAATGTAGCTCAGCAGCAGAACACACACTTCCCATGTATGGGTTGGGGGGAGGGGGGTGTTCCATCTCTGACACAAAAGAGAGAAAAGAAATCTCCTTAAAAGGAAGAGAATGCAGTCTTCCTTCGCCCTGTTCCCCTTTCATGTGCAGAATACGGGTGGAACTCCAGAAGCCCTTGAAGACATGTGGTGACCTTGTAAAGAGAAGTCAGTGCTAACAATGACAGAAGAAAGAGGCATCTATACCCTCAGCAATGCTGACACACAAAAATAACACAGAAGAAAAAAACCAGAACAATCTGGAGTCCACTGATCTGACAATGTAGAAAACATTCAAACACGGGAAAGCCAAGTACAATGTAAAAACAGCCAATGAAAGCTTCAAGGATAAGGTAAAGTTTCATGAGACAAGAATTAGACAAGTGGGGCTGGAGAGACAGCACAACGGGTAAGGCGTTTGCCTTGCATACGACAGGCCCGGTTCCGATTCCCAGCATCCCATATGGTCCCCCGAACACCGCCAGGAGTAATTACTGAATGCAGAGCCAGGAGAAACCCCTGAGCATCGCTGGGTGTGACCCAAAAAGCAAAAATAAATAAATAAATAAATAAATAAATAAATAAAATAATACATTTAAAAAAGATGCCAAATACCAGTAACAATGATGGGTCTCATTCTCCTAAAGAGCCTTGAATATAATCTCAGGGCTAGGATGAAAGAGACGTTACTGGGGCCTGCTCGAGGCAATTGACAGGATGATGAATGAATTAATTAAAAAAAGAAGAAGAAGAATCAGACAAGCAAGAGAAACAAACCCACATGGAAACAGCAAGTAATGAGAACACAGCACAGGTGGGAGATGTGAAAGAAACTGGTCTGACTGGAGAGAGGTCAGAGAATTCTTGGGAGGAAGCAGTGGATATCAAATCTGAATAAAGGGCTGAGGATGCTGCTCAGAGATACAGCCCTTACCTTCCAAATGTGAAGCCCTGGGCTCAATCCTCAACACTACCTCCCAACAACAAAAAAGTAAGTCTTGGTATCTTTAAGGATTTGGCAAGGACAACAAAAACAAAAATGAATGAAACTACATCAAATTTAAATGTTTTTGCATAACAAGAGAAACTGGAGTTAAAATAAAAAGGCAGTATACTAAATAGAAAGAAAAAGTATCTGCGTACCATAGATCAGACAAAGGGCTAACACCCAAGATACAGCATATTCACAAAGCTCAACAACAAACCAGTGTGACCCCACCAAAAAATGGGGAGAGGTGAACAGATACTTCTCCAAGAGAGCACAGGATTGCTAATACACATATGAAAAAGTGTATGCAAACTAATTTTGTTGCAGGTAGGACATATTGGACTTAAAATGACCATATGTTATTAGGGAAATGTAAATAAAAATAATGATGAAGAATCATCTCACACCAGTGAGAATGACACATAACAAAAAGACTAGAAATATCCGTGTTGGTCGGGATGTGCTAAGAAAGGATGTGCTCCTTCCCTACTAGTGGGAAAGTTGTTTGGTTCAGCTCCGAAGGAAAGCAATTTGGAGTTTCACAAAATGCACTGTAGCACTGTCCTCCCATTGTTCATCAATTTGCTTGTGCAGGCCCAGTAACTTCTCCATTGTGAGACTAGTTGTTACTGTGTTTGGCATATCAAATACGTCATGGGTAGCTTGCCAGGCTTTGCCGTGTGGGCGAGATACTCTCGGTAGCTTGCTGAGCTCTCCGTGAGGGGCAGAGGAATTGAATCTAGCTCGGCCGGGCTGGCCACTTGCAAGGCAAACGCCCTACTGCTGTGCTATCGCTCCAGCTCCTCAAAATATAAAAAAAAAAAAATAGTGACCCAACAATTCCATTTGTTTGCATCTACCCCCAAAACATAAAAACATTAATTAAGAAAGATACACGCACATTCATTGCAGTAGTCAGTACAATAACCAGGATATGGAAATAAGCATTAATGTCCAATGACAGTGAATGGATAAAGAAACTGTGGCATATATACACAATGGAATACTACGGAGCTGTAAGAGAAGATGAACTCCTGCAGTTTGATGCAACTTGGATGAAGCTGAAGAGCATCATGTTAGGCAAAATGATAGGGATAAGGAAAAATACCAGATGATCTCACTCATATGTGACATACAGAGATAAAACAAGGGACTAGATAGTATTGAATAATGACAAACCCTTGCTCCTGGTTTGGAGGAGGGAAGAAAAGGTGGATAAGAGGTAACATAGGAATAGTGAAGGCTGTGGGAATTTTGGTGGTAGTGAGGTCCAGTAAGTTTGTACATCAAAACCATAAACATTAACACAACTGACCATGTTATATAACTACAATAAAAATTTTAAAATTTTAATAAACAAATCTGGGCTGGAGCGATAGCACAGCGGGTAGGGCATCTGCCTTGCACGCAGCCAACATGGCCGACCCGAGTTCGATTCCTCCACCCCTCTCGGAGAGTCCGGCAAGCTACCGAGAGTATTCGATATGCCAGACACAGTAACAACAAAGTCTCCAATGGAGACGTTACTGGGCCCGCTCGAGCAAATCGATGATCAACGGGAGGGCCTTTATTTACTTACTTACTTTAATAAACAAATCTAAGTAAATAAGATAGACAAATGACTCTTTTTTCAGATATCTGATACGACACTGTAGTCGAAGAATTTATGCTTACTGGTGACAATACTATTATGATTTTAAAAAGAGCACTAACTCTTAAAAAATACCTATTAAAATCTGTCTGCTAGAATGACCTGATGTCAGGAACTTACTTTAAAAAATCTAGTAAGGAGAAACACAAATAAGATTTGCTATTTTGCTAATTTTGATAAATGTTCAATCTGAGTGGTAAAAGGAGTCCTTCATATTACTTTCTTTACACGTTCATGCTTGGCTATGCACACACACACGCACACACACAGAGTAAAAGTTAATACTAATTTTGTTGCAGGTATGACATATAGGACTTAAAATGACCATATGTTGATGATTGCTTTAGCAGTAAAGTGGCTACATGAATCCACTGTGCTTGACCAGGTCTGTATCTAAAAAAAAAAAAATTCAATTGCCAGAAGTTAAAAAAAAAAATCAAAGAGAGGAATAGAGAAAAATAACAAACTCTCAAAACTTAGTACAAACAAGATAAAGTAAGGCCAGGCAGATAGCTCAGAAGTCACAATGAATGCCTGACATGGACCAGGTCCCAGATTTATATACCTCAGCACCACTGGTGCCCCTGGCTTCAACGGTTACTCTAGGGGGTCCAGCAGCCATGACAAGCAGCACTCCAGTGCCAGGTCCAACCAAAGAACTATCTGGCCCAGTGGGCTAAGTATCAACCAGGACTGGTCCCGGCCCTCCTGGGAACTGCTTGAGACCACCACGTCCCACCCATAACCAGTAAAAGGTAAAAAGTAAACGAACAGGTAAATTACTGAAGAAGAAATATGAACAGACATAAAAACATGCTGTCGTGAAAAAGATGTTTGTTCAACTACTGATTAAAGTAAAAATCAGAAGCTAAATGAAATGCCATTTCAAAGCCACAGGAACACAATAGTTAAACAGTGTTCAAACCATATCAAGCATTATCAAGGACATGAAGGGATAGGAACTGCCATTGTACTACGAAGGGTGAAAAAGGGAAAGGCACTTAGGAGAGCCGTCTAATAAGGTTGAGTTTGTATTCCTTCTGTAAATTGTACTCCTAAATGCATCTCTAGAGAAATTTTTCATTCACTGTAAAAGCAAACTTGTTCATGACATGAATACTGCTACAAAACTATAATCTTAAAAAACAACCTGAATGTAGGCTAGGTAGATAGCTCTAAGGGATAGAGCACATGATTTGCATGTAGCAGGTCCAGGTTCAATCCCAGAACCAAATGTAAAGACATTCCCTGACTACTAATAACACAACACACACACACACACACACACACACACACACACACACACACCCCTGAATGTCCAGCAACAAAAATATTAATTGTAGTATTTTTAATCCATGAACTACATGACAGGGAACATAAACTACAGTCACATGTTATCAATATGAATAAGTCTAAAAAAAAATCCTTGAATTGAGAGAAACAAGTTGCAGAAGACTATACTTTTAAATCACAAAGAGATACACAACAGTCTATATATTGCCTTAAAAATGCATATAACTAGAGATAGCTCAAAGGGTGACTGCACATGCTTTGCACAGAGGAGGCACGGGTTCCATCCCTAGCACTGCATGGTCCCCATCACTACCAGGAAGCAAAGAGAGAAGAAAGCTTCCACAAAGAAGGAACTGAGGATCAAATGCTTCAGAAGCCTTAAGAGGACAGAATGGGAAAAAAAGGCCACTGAGTTTGGTCCCTGGCGCTGTACAAATGCCCAGAGGTCAGACCTGGCTGCTCTTCCCTCTAGGTCCTGCAGCACTGCAAGCAGGTATAATCTCCAGCACACAGCCAGGTGTGTGTGAGCGTCACAAGACATGCAAAGTTGCAGTTAGGAGTGCCACCCCCAGCAAGCACCAAGTACACAAGCACCGCAAGCAAGCCTGTGTGATCCAGACAATCACAACAGTAGCAACAAAGGGAAGAGAAGGGGGCCAAATTTAAATTCAAAAGGAAAAAGATAAGGAAAAAACCTGAGTTATATATATGAAGAGAAGGACAAAAGTAGTTGAGCTGAAAACTGTCTAATATTACAATATTATTTTCTCCTTTTCAAGGGCCTAAGACATTATGACAAGAACTGGAACAATACTACAGTAGGTAAGGTGCTTGCCTTGCATTCAGCGGACCCAAGTTCTATTCTGGCATCCCCTATGGTTCCCCGAACCATGCCAAGACTGATTCCTGAATGCAGAGCCAGGAGACAGTCCTGAGTAAAACCAGGAGTGGCCACAAAACGAAAATAAAAAAAGGGTTAAGAAATTATTACAGGGGTTGGAGCACAGCATTTGCCTTGCATGTGCCTGACCCAGGTTCAATTCCTAGCATCCCATACGGTCCCCCGAGCACCACCTAATTCCTGAGTGCAGGGCAGAGCCAAGACTAACCCCTGTGCATCACCAGGGGTTGTGACCAAAAAAAGCAAAAAAAATTAAAAAAAAAAAAAATGATGATGGGGGTCAGAGCATTAGTACAGCAGGGAGGGCATTTGCCTTGCATGTGGCTGACCCGGGTTCGATCCCCATCATCCCATATGGTCCCCTGAGCAATGCCAGGATTGAAACTGGAGTAACTCCTGAGCAGCACCTGTGGGGGTGGGGGGAGGGAGGGACGATGGAAAGGAGGAGAAGGCAGGCAGGCAGGCAGGAGGCAGAGCGGGAATACAAGGGTTAAGTCAAAAAAAGCCAACCCAGTTTGAGCCCCAGCACCAGGCAGTCCTCTACGTGCATGGCTAAGCGGCACCATGTCCATGGACCCTTGTGGAATATGAAAGACTGGGAGAGATGCCGGGCCTCCTGAGCACCTGATCCACAAATAATTATGATAAAGGACATAACATGAAGACAGATTTTTTGGGACAGGGAGATACCTGAATGAGCTGGAGTACTTGTCTTGCATGCACTAGACCCCAGGTATAATCCCCAGCCACTGCACAACCCCCACAGCATGGCCAGGTTTGGTCAAGTGGGCCCTGAGCACAATCTGGGTTCAAACAACACTGCATAGCAGGGCCCAAGCACTGAACTGACAGGTCTTCACAGTAGGGCTGAGTATCGCCAGGAGTGGACTCTCAAGTTCCTGACCAACCAACCAAACTTAAAAACCCAGTCTGTTAATAATGCCATTACTAACAGACCTAGACAGTATTATACTTTGCAAAGTCAAAAAAGAAAATACTATGTGATCTCAATCATATAAGGCGTATAGAAAGAATTGGGTAAACAAAGTGAATAAATCAAAAGTAAGCTTTTAAACTATAATGGTAAACTATAAATGGTTAAATTAATTGGTTAAAAAGCAATTAATGGTTTCCAGAATAAAAAGGAGGAAGGGGAATCAGGTAAAAGAGGATAATTATATGATGGACAGAACTGAACCTTTGGTTCTGAACTTGATACATATCACATCCGATATTTAATAATGCATACCTGCTATTTATCTATAAGGCAATGTTATTTCAATAATACAAAAGAAAATTGAGAAAAATTACCTTTTCGTTCAAAACTTTCTTCCCTAAGTATGCAAACCAGTGCCAAAAATTTAGTCACTTCCTTCAAATAAAGGACAGTTGTGTTATTCAGCTTGATAATTGCCATAGATTCTTTGTCATAGGCACTTCCACTTCCATCTTCCTTTAACCTGTTTTGAGAGAAAGTAATGCTCATACTAGGTTTCCCAATTGGGTAGGCTGTCACATTTCATTTGCACAATGACATGTGTAAATTACATTTCCATATATTTATACATGTATATTCCACTCATTTTCCTGAATGTCTTCTGAAAAAGAATACTAAGTTAAATAATTTGGGAAGTGAAGTTGTCACTTAGGTAAAGAGCTCCCAGGTATCAATGCAGTACGCTAAGCACTCTTTATTACCTAGAATACATGAAATTAGAGCAAGCTCCAAATCTCTTCCCATACTATGCTTCACCGACAATATGCAAATAAAGGTCCTCAAATATTAAAACTCTTAGCAAAAAGTATAAAAATTAAAATATGTCTGGTCTATCAACGATACTACAGAATCCTTATGACTGCATTCTGAGACTTACTAGGTCTGTAAGCTATTTCATTTAGCAAATTAGAATTGTCAGAATCATATGTAGTTCCCCTTTAAAAAGAGCAAACTGAGAAATAAGTAAACAGACTATAATAAGGCCAAATAATATACATAGACTATGTTAAGAATGACGAGATAGGGGCTGGAATGATAGCACAGTGGGTAGAGTGTTTGCCTTGCACGCAGCCGTCCTGGGTTTGATTCCCAGCATCCCATATGATCTCCTGAGCACTGCCAGAAGTAATTTCTGAGTGCAGAGCCAGGTGTGATACCTGAGCATTGCCGGGTGTGACCCAAAAAGCAAAAAAAATGATGATGAGATGATGGATTTTTTTTTTTTTAGTAATACACTCTTTAAGGTATAATGTATTTTAGGATGTAACTTATTCTAAATAACTTATTCTAAAAAAAAAAAGTAAATTTTTTTGTTTATTTTTGTTTGTTTTGGATGAAACCTGGCAGTGCTCAGGGCTTACTCCCGGCTCTGCACTCAAGAATTAGTCCTGGCAGTGCTCGGGGACCATAAGGGATGCCAGGGATCAAACCTTAGTCAGCTGCGTGAAAGACAAATGCCCTATGTACTATACTACCACTCCAGCACCACTTCTGGAACGCCCGCCTGTCCTTCGCCAACTATAAGACCAAGATAACTGCCCTCCGACGTCCTGATGGATCCATCACATCCTCCAGAATGGCAATGGAGAAGATTATCCATGACTTCTACTCAAATCTCTTCAATAGCCATGTCCACTTGCCGACATACCAAATTCCACAGGATGGATATGTCGTTCCCAACGTTCTCCCTTCCGAAATCCGACACGCCATTTCTTCGGTAAAGAAACAAACAGCACCTGGCCCAGACAAGGTCAGACCTGAACACCTGAAGAACCTGCCGTCAGTACTCAACAATACACTGGCTCGGCTCTTCACTCGCTACCTGTCTGAATGCAAGGTTCCATCCCAATGGAAAACCAGCAGGACCGTACTACTGTTCAAGAAGGGAGACATCCATGACATTGGCAACTATCGCCCAATCTGCCTATTGTCTGTCATCTACAAGTTGTTCACTCGAGTCATCCTAAATAGGATTGGCAGAACACTAGATGAAGGACAACCATGCGAGCAAGCCGGGTTCCGCAAAGGTTTCAGCACCATCGACCATATCCACACGATAACCAAGCTCATTGAGGTTTCTCGGGAGTTCAAGATGCTGCTCTGCTTAACGTTCATTGATTTAAAGAAGGCCTTTGATTCTGTTGAGACGGAAGCGGTCATTGAAGCCCTAGCCAATCAGGGCATTCAAGCCCAATACATCAGGATCCTCCGTGAGCTGTATTGCGGATTCACTACCAGGATCTCACCATTCTACAAAGAAGTGATCGTTGATGTCAAGAGAGGGGTGCGGCAGGGTGATACCATTTCACCAAAACTCTTCAGTGCCACCCTCGAGAACATCATGCGACGACTGGAATGGGAAGGAATGGGAGTGAAGATAGATGGTCGGCAACTACACCACCTCCGCTTTGCTGATGACATTGTTTTAATAACACCAAACATCAGCCAAGCGGCACAAATGCTGGCCGACTTTGACCATGAGTGTGGAAAGGTAGGACTACAGCTGAATCTTACGAAGACAATGTTTATGAGAAACAGCCTTGTTCCTGACGCCCCATTCGCTCTCAATGGAACGACCATCTCCGAATGCAACAGCTATGTGTACCTAGGTCGAGAGGTCAACATGACAAATGACCTGGCACCCGAGCTGCGCAGGAGGAAGAGAGCGGCTTGGAACGCCTTCAAGAACGTCGAAGAAATAGCTAAGAGGACGAAGAACCTCCAGCTCCGGGCACATCTCTTTGATTCCACTGTTCTTCCTGCATTAACATATGCCTCAGAGACCTGGGCCCTACGCAAACAAGATGAGAACGCTATTCAGGTCTCCCAAAGAAGAATAGAAAGAGCTATGCTTGGAATATCACGTTTCACTCAAATGAGAGAACGAATCCGGAGTTCTGACGATCAAGGATCAGGGACGCTGTCTCATTTGCCAAGGTGTCGAAAATCAGATGGGCTGGTCACGTAATGAGATTTAAAGACGACTGTTGAACTAGAGCTGTTACTGATTGGATTCCACGGGATGTCAAGAGACCGCGTGGCCACCCACCTACCAGATGGTCAGACTTCTTCGTCAAGATCATGAACGATCGGTTTGAGGCCCTTCATGTTCCCAGAGCGAACAGATGCCATTGGGCTACACTAGCACACGACAGGGACAAATGGAGACGTTACTGGCGCCCGCTCGAGCAAATCGACGACTAACGGGAAGTTAAGTAATTAAGTGATTAATAATAAAAATTTGTTTTATAAATTTTTTTGGTTTTTAAATTTTTGTAAAGAAAAAAATGTTCTCTGTTTTATTTTATTTTGGGGGGGCTACACCTAGTTGTGCTCAGGGCTTCCTCCTGGCTCTGCGCACCAGGATCATTCCTGGCCGGGCTTGGGAGACCCATAGGTGATGCCAGGGAACCGAACCCAAGTCAGCCACGTGTAAGGCATTGCCGTATTCACTGGACTCTCTCCAGCCCCTGTTTTCCATTTTTAAAAACAGAAAGGGAATACTTCACTGAGTAATATAATCGTCATCCCATTTGCATTACGAAAAAAAACAATGGAGAGTATTACTAAAAAACAAACTCAGACTGAAGTGGAACACGACAAGTAAGGAATGGGTAGGACAAGACAGGAGAGACAGCACAGGGGTTATGGCACTGACACACAGCCAATCCCCGGCACCCCAGATGGTCTCCTGAGCACCTCCAGTAGTAACCCCTAAGCACAGAGTCAGAAGTAAGCCCTGTTTATAGTCCCAGGTGTGTCCCCTAACCCCATCTCCCCTCTCCCCCCCCCCCACAAAAAAAATGGGTAGGACAGGAGCCAGAGAGAGAGCACAGGGGATGCTTGCCTTGCACACAACTGACCCAGATTCAATACCTAGCAATGCCAGGAAAGACCCCTGAGCTAGAGCAAGGAACAGACCCTGGCCACTGAAGGTATGGCACCAAACCACCCACCGCCCCACAAAAAAACAAATGGGTAAGGCAAATGCATTCTCCCGCTCAAAAGGCAGCTGGAGAATGACATGGACAAATTAGGCAGATATCAAGAAAATGGTACTGCTAGAGATATGAAAGAGTTTAGAACAGAGAAGAAAAGATAATAAACCCTGGAAATAATATTAGAGCATCAAAGAATGTCTCAGGAGTATTGAAATTAACTTATTAGGTATACCAGGATATGACAAATTCATAGTTTTGGGGTTTTTTGGGGGGTTCAGGGTGGAACGCCAACATCCACCAACACTACTGGAGGTGCTCAGGAAGACCATATACGATGACAGGGACTGAACAGAAAGTGGCCACATGCAGGGCAAGTACCTTAACCACTGTACTAACTTCCCAGCCTCACTGGCTTTTTAAATATCAATAAATCTTCAAAAGTTTTCTCTCATCCTGAATTAGTCTTTGCTGAGTTTTTCATAAATTTTCTGTGTAGAATTTGATGAAATTACATTAAGAGGTCACATTTTAGAGATTTTTGGTAATTCTGAGTCCTGATTTCCTTGTTTCTCAGTTCTCTGAAATATTAACGAAACTTTCATCCCACAAAGTCTAAGGTCAAACTAAGAACAAGCACTTTGGGAAGTCTGGCACTAGCCACATTTCAACTGCTTTTTTCTCTCGTCTCCATAGGGGCCAGACTCTGTAGCCCACCTACATGCTCCAAGTTGAAGGACCACAGACAGAACAATTCCACTTTATACAGTACTTGCTAGAAATCCCCAGCTAATTCCCCTGACAAAATGAAATAGTAGTTTCCTCTCAGGTGAAATTTTGAAGGAATATAACTGTAACTTACCCATATATACAAGACACATCAATTACAACATCAATCATGTCACAGCAAAGTTCATAAGACTGCATATCCACAGGAGAACTATCTGTTGCAATGTAGATTTTGCTGACAACATCAAAGAGAAATGCTTTTTCAATACCTGAATTCTTAGAAAAACAAAATTGAGGAAATTTTCAGCTTTTAAAAGAATCAGTTTGCAATTTATCAAAATTCTTGAATTAATAAATATCCAAGGACAATTTTTCTTAAATAACTCAATACCAGAAAAACAAACTATTTGGCTGACAGTTCTATTACCCAAAGAATAAAAGTGCATTTCTCTGCTCTGATTAACTGACATAACAGTATCAGTAAAATGTTTTTTCTTCTTCTCTTTACTTCAAAATTATTTTGTAATACATCAGCAAAAAAAATTTTTAATGCCCCCCAAATCAAGCCATGCTCCACTTTCAATAATCCTTCTGGTTCTGGGGTAGGGGAGAGGAGTGTCTGGTCTACAACCACCAGTGCTCAGGGTTGCTCCTGGTGGTGACTGGGGGGTCCATGAAGGACTACTGACTGAACCCAGGATTCCTGCATGCAGATCATGTGCTCCAGCCTTCTGAGCTATCTCCCTGGGCCTCAATAATCCTTATTTAATAATTCATTTTTCATCAGAATAGCCTTGCTGCCAGAAAAGATTTTAGCAGTTGGCAAAACATGAAAGACTTAGTTTGATATCAGTATCTACAATGACCCAAAAGCCCAAAAGAATTGGGGATCACTTGAGTCTTTCAAAGCAACATTTTGGAAAATACAACTGAACACTAAATTTATTAGAAGAACAAACCTTCATAGTTAGGGGCTGGAGCGACAGCAAAATGGGTAGGGCATTTGCCTTGCACGCAGGTGACCCGAGTTTGACTCCCAGCATCCCATACGGTCCCCCAAGCACTGCCAGGAGTAATTCCTGAGTGCATGAGCCAGGGGTAACCCCGGTGCATCACTGAGAGTGACCAAAAAAAAAAAAACCTTCATAGTAAGCTTAATTCTTAAAATGATTGTGAAATACAATACTGAGGATAGTTTGCAAATGATTAACTTTTCAGTGTGACTTCCAATAATTCCCAAAATCTTTATCTTTCCAAGTTCTTCCTTTAGGAAAGACATAATAAAGATTGTGTGGGGGGGGGGTGGAGGGGGGGAGTGGGCAGGGGAGCACCCATAAATGGCAGTGCTTGGAGCATCGGAACAGCTCTCATGACCTGCTGCCAGCAGTGCTCAGGGGACCGTGTGGTGCTGGGGATCAAATCCAGGGCTCCTACTTGCAAAGCATGTGCTCCAGTCCTTTGAGCTAGCTCCCCAGCTACTCATAGAGATATTTTTAATCAAGAAATATGAGAAATTTTTTTCATTTTACTTTTTTTTTTTTTTGCTTTTTGGGTCACACCTGGCAATGCACAGGGGTTCCTCCTGGCTCTGCGGTCAGGAATTACCCCTGGAGGTGCTCAGGGGACCATATGGGATGCTGGGAATCAAACCCGGGTCAGCTGCGTGAAAGGCAAACGCCCTACCCACTGTGCTATTGCTCCAGCCCCTCATTTTACATTTTAAAAATGGTGACCAATATAGAAATAACTCAAAAATAAAAAGTCATTTAATGCCTTTATTATTTTACTTATTCTTTATTATTCTGCTTTTCATTACCTGTTAAGTGTTATCATTAATCTTTAAGTTTAATTCAGACTAATTCAATCCATATTTTGTGATAATACAAATACATTCAATGAAAACGGAATCAGAAATTATAGTGGATTAAGTTAATTCACTTACCGATATAAAGATATTTAATAAATTTTCCAAGGTTGGTAGTTGAGGGATGAGTTTCTGTACCACCTTACTAAAGGCTTCAAATATTGAATGGTCATAGATACTAGTCAAATAAAAGCTGGGGGGGAAAAAAACATGGTAGATTTAACTGGAAGATTTCTTAAATTGGGAAATAAATAACACAGTAGATTTAACTGAAAAAATCTCTTAAGCTGAGTGACAATTATCCTAATAAAGTTTCTTGACAGATGCAATTTTCCTACCTGACTCACTATCCATTCCTTTACCATGTTTACTCAGAAGATAACTCAGATAGTAACCCAAAACACATTTTTAGATGCAAAAATTTAAATGTTCACCTAATTTTCCATAACCTGATTCAAAGAGTTTTGGTTTCTTAAAGTTTTTCTTTGCCTTTTGTTTTTGTTTTGGGGCCACACCAAGCCATGCTGAGGGCTTACTCCTTGCTCAGCACTCAGGAATTACTCCTGGTAGGCTCAAGTACCATGTAGGGTAGCACTGTAGCACTGTCCTCCCGTTGTTCATTGATTTGCTCGAGCGGTCATCAGTAATGTCTCCATTGTGAGACTTGTTACTCTTTTTTGGCATATCGAATACGCCACGGGGAGCTTGCCAGATTCTGCCGTGAGGGTGGATACTCTCGGTAGCTTGCGGGGCTCTCCGAAAGGGATGGAGGAATCGAACCCAGGTCGGCCACGTGCAAGGCAAATGCCCTACCTGCTGTGCCATCGCTCCAGGAGGGTCACCGAATCAGGGATCAAACCTAGGTTGTCTGCATGCAAGGCAAGTACCTTACCAACTGTAGTATCTCTCTAGCCCCCAGTTTCTAAGCTCTTAACTCACAAAAAATAAGATTAAAAAAACCCCTACAGGGGTTGGAGAGATAGTATAGCAGGTAGGATATTTGCGTTGCACACAGCTTGACCAGAGTTAAATCCACAGCATTCCATATGGTCCCCTGAACCCTGTCAGGAATAATTTTTAAGAACAGAGTCAGGAGTTTCCCCTAAGCATCACTGGGTGTGGCCTCAGAACAAAACATAAAGTACTTTTTTTTTTTTAAGTGGGGACCAGATAGTCCGATGGGTAGGGCATTTGCATTGCACAGCCAACCTAGGTTCAACCTCAAGCTTCCCATATGGTCCCCTGATCCCCACCAGGAGTAATTCCTAAGCACAGAGCAAGAAGTAACCCCTGAGCATCACTGGATATAGCCAAAAAACAAAAACAAATAAGCCAACAGAAAGCTCGAGAAGTGCCATTTATGAAATAACACAATTCCAGTCTCTTGCCAAAATCTTCAGAAAGCTGTTTCTTAACCTCTCTACCTAGAATATCACCTCTTATCTACCCATTATCTACCCGACTCCTATTTTTTTCTTAATAGCACTGATAGTTAAAATTACAATATCACATTTAAGTACTTCTGAGCTACTCTTCAGTCATCAGAATGTAGGCTACATGAGGAGAGGGTAGATTCTGCCAGCTCTTGTTTGTAGCTAGAATCCCACGCCCCTGAACAGTGCTCATAACATCTACTGAAGAAATAAACTAAAACAACCAGAGCTTAGAATATGTATAAATAATGTATGAAGGAGGATGAGTCGGCTCCTATAGAAACTGAACAGGAGTCTCAGTGCCTAAAAAGTTGTATCGTGGAGAAGCAGCACCCAGAATTAACAAAACTCAGAAAGAGGTATTGAAAAATTGGGGGAAAGGAGACCCACACCTGGCACTGTTCAGAGGCTATCCCCAGCTCAGTACTCAGAAGTCACTCCTAGTAGTGCTCAAGAGACAGTAAGTGGTGCCAAGAATCAAACCCAAGCTTCCTGCACACATAGCATGCACCCTGGCAACTACAATCTATCTAGCCAGCCTTTCACAATTTGAACACGAAACAATTCTGTCTGCTTTTTCCTCAGAAAACATATTCTTCACCATTCAAGGCACATTTACAGGTACATATTACGAAATCAGAGACACAGAACTGTGTATGCCACAGTTAACAGGAAATTTAAAGACATTTTCAAAGAGCTAACCTAAGATCCTAACCCCTCCCAAGATGGAACTCTGTTGGAACACGAAAACGGGTGAGGCCAAGACAACTCCCATCAGGAACTAGGAACAAAGGAGTATTTTCAGTGTTTCCTCGAGGCAAAAAGGAGAGCCACATAAGATCCTGCAGGATTATGATTTTTGATGGTGAATGGGGACAGAGAGAATGTGCAAGGCGGAGGGCATCTTAGTAAGCTGAGTTTGTAAAACCTTGAAATCAAATGGAGACTACCAAACACAACCAGTCAAACACAACTGGTCAGAAAAGCCTGAATCATATTCTATGAGGACAATAAGGCTTGGGGCCCCAACAAAGAACCGTAGAACAAAGGAAAGAGATGATGGGTTACCCCTGGAATAAGATGCCCTAAAAAGGAACAGACACAATGTAAAAATCAGGATTCCCAAGGGCAGCAAGGAATGTAGGTCAATAGGGTTTAAAATCCATTTAAAAACCCTTTAATAAGGGCTGGAGCAATCGTAGAGCAGTTATAGTGCTTGCTTTGCACATGGTCAACCAGGGTTCAGCCACCAGCACAAAAGGTCCCGAGCAACAACAGGAGTGATCTCTGAGCACAGAGCCAAGAGTAAGCTTTGAGCACCACTGAGTGTGATTCAAAAAAAAACAAAAATAACAAAATCTATTGAGAGTGGATTCCCATAAGGTAAAACAGAGAATTCTGAGGCATTTACGTGTTCTTACAAATATTAATTTTTAAAAAACATGTGTAATTTATATGTTTAAAATTTTAAATCCAAGCAAACTGGATGTCAATGAGATTTTTATTTTAAACATGGTCACTTCCAGTGCATATTCTGGGAATATACCTCCGGGGTATATTCTGGGAATATACTCGGGGGGCCCAAAAACACACAGGAGAAACACCACCTGCACTTCTATGTTCATTGCAACACTATTCACAATAGCCAGAATCTGGAAACAACCCAACTGCCCAAGAATAGACAACTGGAGTAACAAACTATGGTACATCTATACCATGGAATACTACGCAGCTGTTAGAAAGAATGAAGTCATGGAGAGTATCATGCTGAGTGTACTGAGAGGGGCAGACACAGAATCACTGAACTCACTTGTGGGATATAAAAAATAATACTAAGAGACTAACAACAAGGCCAGAAAAAACAGGGACCATAAGGACTGGTCAACGGTTGGAAGCTTGCCACAAGTGTGTGGGAATCAAAGGGTAGTTAGGATAGAGAAAGGACCAGTATGACTACAATAGAAATGATCGCTCTGGACAAGAACTGAGTGTTGAAAGTAGGTAAAGGGATATACATGATAACCTTTCAGTATCTGTATTGCAAACCATAAAGCCGAGAGAGAGAAAAAGGGGGGAGGGAGGGAGGGAGGGAGGGAGGGGAAAAAGATAAGTGCCTGCCATAGAGGAGGGGGAGGGGAGAAAATGGAGATGGGGGATGGAGGGCAGGAGGGAAACTGGGGACACTGGTGGTGGGAAATGTATACTGGTGGAAGGGACAGGTGTTGGAACATTATATGACCAGAAACGCAACCATGAAAATCTTTCAACTTTATAACTATGTCTCTCACTGATTCAATTAAATAATAATAATAGCACTGTAGCACTGTCCTCCCACTGTTCATCAATTTTCTTGAGCAGGCACCAGTAACGTCTCCATTGTGAGACTTCCTGTTACTGTTTTTGGCATACTGAATACACCACGGGGAATTTGCCAGGCTCTGCAGTCTGGGCGAGATACTCTCACCTAATAATAAATTTTTAAAAATGTGGTTTCTTAGAATAACTGAAAGATCCTGGAACCTGAGGCCTTAGAGAACATTACGGGTAGAGGTGGGATTGGCTTGAACCTTTAAGGAAGTCACTGAATCAGAACAGGGATAAGGAAATAGCTAATGCTTGTGTCTCTCTCTGCTTCCCCTTTATGATGCTTTTATCAAGGAACACTTTCTTGGGAACTTCCTATTACTTATTTCTACCTATACCAAACACACATACAAAACTTTAGATGTAGGAAATACTCTTCAGACACTTTTAGAATGCAAGAACAGAAATCATTGATCTTGTCTTAAAGGTACCCTTTAATAATATTTCTTAATCACATTTAATTATAAATCAGCAGCACTTTAAATATAACAGCATGGGTCCAGGGTGATGGCGCAAAGGGATAAGAGCATACGCTTTGCACACTGGAGCTCCCAGCTTAATCCCCAGAACTTCAAGGTACCGTGAACACCACAAGTGATACCAAGCACTGTCAGTATGGCCCAAAAACAACAACAAAAACTTAACAGTGACCCTAAGTAGTTTATAGTATAAACTCACCTAGAAGACTTAAGATTAAGGTTCAAACTTTAGGGGCTGAAGAGAGAGCTCAACGGGCTGAGAAGCCCCGGGTTCAATTCCCAGCACCATATGGTCACCTGAGCAACGAGCCAGGAGTAGCCCCTGAGCATCAGCGGGTGTGGCCCAAAAAACAAAAACAAAAAAAAAAAATTCAAGTTTTAAGATTCATAAAAACATGAAGTTTTAAAAAAATATGCACAAAATATATTAGACTCTAGACCTGACCCTGTACCCTTGTACTTTTCTCATTGTGAAAGATGCTGTCAAGACTCAAGATATAAAAGATGCAAGACGAAATACAGAGTTCTACAACTCTGTCTCAAATATGGCAGAGATTTCTTTAGCTGAGGCAAAGGGGGGGGGAAAAAACATCAAGAGAGGGAAGGGCCTCTCACAACAAATTCATCAGTGGATGAATTTGCAAAAGAACCAGCAGAAAAACTTCACATGACCTCCCCTCCAGGAGGACGGGGAAAGGAGAAAATAACTTCTCTACAGAAGCAGGAGCCCCAAACTGTTTACATTTGGGCACAAAGGAAATCCCAAACCTTCTGGATTGGGTAAGGGTCCACCAGTCACAGAAGCTATCATGTACTACATCAGAGATGAGAACACAACTCTTGTTTTCAGGGTTCATATAGCAAACACACACGTTGTTACCTAAGGTGGAGTTTTTCTAGCCCGGCGTCTGCAAGGTCATCATTGGCCCTTTGATGGATGTCTCTCTGTGTTTCTATTTTGTGATCATCAGATAGACCATCAACTTTGTGAATAAAAACCTCAAAATTCATGTCTGGGTTAACTTTGTAGGCTTTCGAAACAGTAATGTGAAGTCTTGTTAAAGCTTCCATGTAGTCATCCTGTAAGTGAAATCAAAACCACTCTTTGAAAAGAAATCTCACTCAAGTCAAGCAATAAACACCCCCAAACCCAACAGAAAAAAAATTCTCTTGGGCCACAGGAATAGCTCAATGGACTGATCACATGCTTTGCAAATCAAGAGGTCTGGGTTTGATCTTCAGCACCACAAGACCCCCAGTATCACCAGGAGCAACCGCTGAGAATAGTCTGGAATAGCCACCAGGTACTGCCAGGTGTGGTCCAAAGACAAAAACAAAATGTTATTAATTTAACTTCACAAATATTCAAATTTTCAAGTACATTAATGTATACCACACCAAAGAGATCTCATAAATTCATTACCAAGTGAAAGCTTATAATTGTTAATACTAATAATATAAAGAAATACAGAAATAAACATTTCTCAGCAGAGTATCTTTGGGTTTTTTCCCTATGTCAGGGATCAAACCCAGAGCCTCATAAATGCAGGGCAAGTGCTTTTCCACAGAACTACTTCGCTGGACTTAACAGAATTCTTTTTAAGTAATCCCAGTAAGACCATTATAGTGTGAATTTAAGCAGGCTGCTTAAACTCTACGATGTGTTTATTCATATGTAAAATTAGAACTGCAGCACCGACCTCACAATATTATGAAGAATAAATTAAATGGTGTGTGTGAAAATTTCATTACAAAGCTTTCACTCAGAAATCACTCCTCAATAATTTTCAAGTTTATAAAAAGTAAGCTTCTTAAAGATAGGGGCAGGTCCCATTTACCTGAGTGTCTAATACATGTTAGGTCCTCATTAAATATTGGGCTAAACTCAATCTGAACAATTAAAGAAAGAATTCACCATAGTATTTACTGATTAATTTCTCATATTCCTCCTTATATTATGGAAACTGATGAGACCTTTTCAATGAGTGACATTACTACTGGAAAATTTTACCAAGTTCAGCAATACCCATTCTTAACCAAAAAAACTGGAAAGCTGCTCATTAACTAGAACTCAAGGAAGGAAAAAAGCATCTCCTAATCTTCTTGCACTCGGCATTTGCACCCAGATGCATTTTCTGCCTGGAACGAACCAACAAAGAAGTAAGCGGTAAGAAGCATGACTTTCCCTTTTCTACATCTTTCACCATCACCGAAGTAAACATCATTATTTCTAACTACCTGCGCATCAATGACATATATCAATGCTCCAGTTCCTCTGAAGATCATCTCATAGTCAAAAGTTGGGTCAAAAAAGTCCATCTGCCCAGGGAAATCCCAGATTTGGAAATTCACAAAGGAACTATTGGAAATGTCATCTTTATAAATCTTGTTGGTGCTTTCCAAAAATAGGGTCTCGTTGGGTGACATTTTATGAAACACCACCTATTAAAAGAAAGAAAACAATTTTATGACTCTTCAACTTCAGTATTTAAAGTTCAAACTTCCTATCCAAAGAGACGGTTCGACAGGTAAAGTATGCAGGCACCCACTCCTGGTTTGATCCCCAACACTAGGTGTGGTCCCCCAAGCACTGTCTGGGTGATCCCTGAACACAGCCAGGAGTCACTCAAAAACCTAAACAAATAAAAATAACATTTACACCCTATATAATTCAAGGAATCTGCTTCCATAGCAAAAATTTTAGAAAGAGATGAACTATCGTATGTCCTTAGAGAAAAAACAAGATTACTTTCCTCTAAGGTTTTCTGAAGCTGAAACTTTTCGCTATTTTCTGGCATCACGTGCAGAACTAGCAGTACACTGTCTTTTATCTCCAATGACCTTTATCTGTATTTTATTTATTGCATTAATTCTGCCAAAATCTGCCTTAAGATTATGAAAGCTAATAGCTGAAGTTTAAGAAGCTTTGTTCACTGAGAAACAGGAATACCTACTTCAGGTTCTGAGGAATAATCAGAAATGCAACTAACTGGGCCCTGCCAGGCCTGCACTGAATTTGCAGTCGTGTGCAATAGATAAAAAAAAAAAAAAGTAATTCTATCAAACAAAGGTGGTAAAAGGGAGAGAGGATGGGGGACAGGAGCGACAGTTTGGGAGCAAAAACCAGTCCTGACAAGAAATGGTATTAGAATCACAATCCGCCCAAAGCAAACATAAAACAAAAAAGGGTGCGAACATAAAACGAAGTTGCCTCTGTCACTTTCTGGAAGAGAAAAACGGATAGCTATTCCCCAGGGTTACTCAGGAAGAACGAAAAGAAATCAAATCAATTTGCTAAAATCCTCCCAAGACAAAGCTGAAAAAGCAAAATAAGGGCGAGAAACAATCAGCTGCTTTTCACCAAGTCCCAGATCTACCCAAATCGAAGAGACTCCGGAGAGACCTTTGCAGCGGGGCAGAAAGGGCAGAACCCCTGGGCATTGCCGTCCCAACTCGCTCGGTGTGCGAGGGGAACGGCCGATGGCCCGTCTGCCCGCTCACTGAAGGCACTCAGTCCGCCCAGGCTGTCCAGGTGTCCCGCACACGCCTGCAGAGGTCCAAGTCCCCCAGTCAACGCGCTCACTTGGCTGCCGAGCACCAGGCCAGGTGACCAAGCACCCCCGGGTCCCCAAAAACGTCACGGCAAGTTCCCCGGCAGGAACGTGGCCGGGGCTTCGTCGCCGCGCTTCCAGACGCTGCTCCCCGGGGAAGCGTCTCAGCTGGGAAGCCCCGCACGCCCAGGACCCCCAAAGGGAGACGATCCCCTCCCCCACGGCCCCGCGCCCCCCGATACGGGACCCTGCGGGGAATCGATCGAGTTCTGCGAGCTGGGGGCGGAGGGGTCCCCCCGGTGGGAGCCGGCCCCGGGAGGCGGAGGTCCCGGGCGCTGCCCAGGGGCACCTGCGGGGCCAGGCGGGAGCGCCTCGGCCTCAGCTGACCGGGGCGTGGGCCCCGAGGTCGGGGCCTTCCCGGCGCCGCGACCCCGCTCACCTTCTGGATGGACGACTTGCCGCTGCGCCGGAGCCCCATGAGCAGAATCCTGGGCTTGGAGCTGTCAGCGCCGCCCGGCCCACAGCCGCCGCCGGCCCCCGCCCCGACCCCCGCGCCCGCCGCCGCCGCCTCCTCTTCCTCCTCTTCCACGCCGTAGCCGAAGTCCTTGGGGAACGAATCGGCCGCGCCGTAACTGCCGGCGAGAGGCGGCTCCTCCGCCCCGTACTGCAGGGACATGGTGCCGGAGCCGCCGCCGCCGCCGCCGCCGCCCGCGCCCTGACAGGCCAGGCCAGGCCGAGCCAGGCCGCCGCCTCCCCGCGCCGCCGCCGCCGCCGCCGCCGCCGCCCCCGGCAGCCGCCACCACCGCGAGGTCCGCCTCGCCGAGCCCGGCTCCCATTGGCTCCGCGCCGAGACCCGGGCTCTCATTGGCCGCGCCGGCTGCCACTCCGGAGCAGCAGGGTAGGTGGTGCCCGTCACGTGCCCGGAATCACCTGACTCCGAGCGGTGGAAGCGGGGGGAGGAGGAGTCACGAGGAGACTGGCCCGGCCGGGCCGAGCCCTCTGCCCTCCTCCCCGGCGCGCGGCGAGGTGGTGCTTCAGCCTCTCGCTTTGTTCCTCGCTGAGTTCCCCCGCCTTCGTGGGAGTTCCAGGGGCCACGGCGGTGAAAGATGCTCTCTGGACATTTGGGGGGTGGGGAGGCAATGATTGTCCTCCTGTATTTGTACTCGCCCAACCAATAAATTGTCGATGCCCGCGATATCCTGGGAGCACAAAACTGGAACCGTCTCGGACTCTGCCTGCCATGCCATCAAGTTGCTGGAAGATTAATAGTGATCGGATTTCTGCGTAAGTACCCTCGGCACGAGATATTAATTGGAAAGGTCCAAGTTACAGATACGAGCCGGAGAAATCCTCCAAGGGCAGGAGCAGAGCTCCGGTTTGATCCCCGCCACCGCCTTGTCCCTGGAGTACCGCTGGGTGCCCTCTAGTACCACCGGATGTTTCCCCCCCCCCCCCCCAAATAAAAACGCCCTGGTTGGGAGGATTTGGAAGTTTTTAATGAGCTGGCGTCTGGGCAAGTCTAGATGGGTGGTTATAGTTGGAATAGCCAAGTATGGAAGACCAGCTGGATTGAAGGCAAAGCCTCAACCAAAGTTGTCATGGGTGAGTTTGAGGTTGTTCGAGCAGGTAGCCAGGCCCTGATAGGAAAGCAAATACTATCAAGCCAGAATATTGTTTCTTCTGCAAGTCACTGACAGTGAATACTGCTGCCACTTCAAATTCAAGAGGATTCCATTTCCCCTTCTTCCATACAGTGGACGTCCACTCCTCCAGTAATTCCATTCATCCCTCGTTCCTTAGGAACATTGCACCTTTTATGGTCTTGTCAGTGACCAGAGAAACGATGAAATTAAACCAGATGTTTATCATTGTTTGAGGAAGCTGGAGTCTAAGATTGGAAATTTGACTAGAGATCTTCCTCTTGAAGCTGGGTGGTCTTAAAGAATACTACCTCAGGATTCTGAAAGGAAATTCTTTGCATGCAGGTCTGGGTCTTAGGTATATCTGAGTCTGCAAGTCAAAGGTAGTATATGTTCTTTAAAATCATTTAGTTCAGGGGCCAGAGAGGTAGTACAGTGGGTATAGGACGCTTCCCTTGCAGAGCCCACTTGGTTTTGATCACTAGTGCCCTGCCGACTGCATGGTCCCCAGATCACCACCAGTAGTTAATTCCTGCCAGAAGTGATTCCTAAGCACAGAGCCAGGATTAACCCTGAGCATCGCTGGATGTGGCCCAAAAAAAAAAAAAAAAATCAAAAGTCACTAGTTCAATCTCTCACCTCAAGATGATAAGCAGTTTATACTTGAGTAGTTGGTGCCTATGGGAAATTGAAGAACTTCCTCAAAGAGCAGTTAATTTCTTTTCACGGTGGCAAAACTTTGATGATCACTCCAAGGGCAAGTGCACACGCACCACTAAATGCCCTCTCCCTATTAGTCTCTTTAGGATGTTGAGAGCATTTGCGCTCTCAGCATCCTTCAGATGTCTGGCATCTCCAATGCAGTATTCACAGTATAGCCTTGAGGATAAATGTTTAGCTCCTGGGCCAGTACTTCTATAAATTATTCCCAGGATATAATAATTTCTTAAATACCCAAAGTATAAGTGGTTCACACTGATTAATCAATGGAACTAGTACTTTGTACACAATCTACTTCCTAAACATTACAAGTGTTTTTTGGTTTTTTTTTTTTTATGTTTTCTTTGATGTTTAGAAACACCAGGGATCTAATGGTGCTTGCTAGTGCAGTGCTCAGGATTAAACCGGGCTTCTCACACGCAAAGCATGTGCTCCAGCCCATTGAATTATCTCTCAGACCCCAGGAGCTCGTTATCTAACCTAAGTATTATAAGACTTATTATTTCAATTTTTTGGCTTAGGCCCAATAGTTTAAATACTCAAAAGTTAAATCATTTTAGCTTAATTCAATATAGTTAACCAGCTCTTTCAACCTTGGTTAGTTACAGATTCGGTGTTACTACCATCTGGCCCACATGTAGTTCTTTACAATGTCCAAGGTGGTTTCATACCCATGATATTTAATTTAATCTTCACAACAACTTTTTATGCAAGGTTTTAAAAATCACTTCCCCATGTTTAAGATGGCTGAAGTATAAAGCAGAGCAAGAAAGGAATGGATGGAATCCTTTTTCTACTCCATTGAGCATCTTCCTATATCCAAATCCTTGACAGAAATGTTGAAAAGGACCTTTAGAGGCCAGACTGACCTGGATTCTTACACTGACCAGTTCTGATTCTTAGCACTGACCAGTTCTGAGAGTATAATTACACAACCCGCATTATCATTATGTCCAAATGGATGGTACAAGAGAGTCACCTGACATTAATACTAGTTCCATGAGAGATAGGGAGGACAACTGAGGATTAGCCCCCTGAAAAATTTCTACTTATCTATATCCACAAAGGGACTGTCATATTAACTGCTTAAAGACAGGTCTCCCTCTCTTTTAAAATCCCCATGGGGATCATGTTTTATATTATAGTTTTTAGCACATCCTATATACCACATTGTATGTAATTGCTTCTGTATGTGTCTTACAGCTAACTTCCTGTTATTCATTTTTATGACACCCAGCCCACTGCTGTCCATGTAGGGAGGCACTTACATTGGTAAAACACAGACTAATTCAAGTGAATGTTCTTTCAACATTATCTGGCCCTCTTCCAAAGCCACACTTGTGGCTAAGAGGCATAGACCATTGCCACACTCCTGCCAACATGACTGATTAAAACGTCCTTATAAATTGACTTGGTCCCAATTTCCTGCTGGTGCTTAGGTTTTTGCTTATTAAATTGGCTTTCACTGGAGCATTTTCCATGTGTGTTTTGATCAAAAATTGCCCACAACAGGAAGAGAATACATAACACTACTTAATAATGTCAATTAATACAGAAAATAAGTGATCAATAAAACTAAACATCTGACTATAGAGCCTCAAAAAGAAAGAAGAAAAGACTAACGAACAAGAATATAGTGCTTTACCATTTACAAATCTTTCATATACATTCTCATGTGACCTCACAACAACCCTGTGAGGTAGGCAGCACGGATAGTACCTTCTCATTTAACAGATGGGAAAATGAGTCTCAGTGCAGCTGACTGGTGTGCCCAAGATTCTACAGTTAATAAGGAAAAAAAAGTATTAATATCAGTCTTTGGCGTAAAAATTCAGCACACAACCTCCCCTTATACTTGCCCTACCTACTTCACAGGGTTAATGAAGATCAAATGAATCCAAGGCTAGAAAAATACTTTGAGGGGGAAAAGCACTATTTTATTATATCCACAAACTATAGTTTCCCATGATATCTGGCTCGATGCCCTTCTCCTTCCAGCTTGTGCATGAATCCAGAGTCTTATATTGCCTCTGTTCTGTGCTCAACTAAGCGACTAAGTAAGGCAGGGGAAGAGTACGATCCTGTTTAAAGTTATATAAATGACAATCAGGATAACTACAATTATAGCAAATTGAAAAGTAACAAAGGCCAATGTGCAATTCGGACCCACTGACACAGCGTAAAGCAAGGCGACATTATCAAGTAGGGCATGATTGCATAGAAGGAAAGAGTGGTGTCAGAGTTCACACTGGCACACACACACAGTTGTCTAAGGCAAGTGGTGGAAAAGAGGAGAGATTTGTTCTGTTATATAAACGAGCAGAAGGTTTGTAGGAACCCCTGCAGAAGCATCTTATCTCACATACATCTGTCCAGCTGCCTACAGAGTAGAAACACAGGGTCACTTTCCTTCCGAAAATGATTATACCTGTGCTTGTATCCTAAACTAATCTGGCTAAAATATTACCAGAACCATCATTCTTCATCGTACTGATAAACAGAATGTCTTTAGGGTGATCTATTAAGTAGCTGTTTAGATTATTTTTTTCAGGATTCACTTTGGATTCTTCTGCTTTTAAGACCCAAAGAAAGTTATATTGAGTTTTTATTGGTGATTCTAAATATGTGTTTGAACAGTTAAAGTGTGATAGGTGATTTTTTTTAACATATTAAAAGAGTTCTATAGCATCTGTTCAGAAAAGATTATACACTATACAAACTATTCAAGTCATACAAAACCATTTTTCATTGTCTTTTCAATTGAGAAGAATTCTATTCAGCACGCTTCTCCTCCTGAGGTGGTTCATACTGAGCAAGCTACGGGGCAAAGACAGAGGAGTTAAGGTGAATTTTATTCTAAACTGGGTTAAAAAAAAATTTAAAAGTTACAAAACTACATAATGATTAAGATTCATTTTAATTACTGAATCGGTATTTTATTAAATCCTATCCTTCTTAAACCATTCATGATTTAAGGTCTAATATAGTCAAACCCATAAAAGCTCTTTTCACATAAACTTTTAAACTTAATGGGAAACTAGAATTTAATGCCAATTCGAGAGTGTACTGCTCAAAAACTTCATCTATGAGAACTTATCTTCCAAAAAAAAAAAAAAGCCATGGCTTTACTGAATTTTCTCCTAAAAAGTAGGGGGAAAATTATGCAACCTGTTTATCTAGCAGCTAATGTCTTTGACGTTAAAGTCCCAAAGAGATTAACTGGACTTGCACACTGTGGAAATCCCTAGGATACTGCTTTTTGTGGTACAGAGGAATCGAAGCCAGGACCTCATGCACATAATTCACTTTCTTTTATGCTAAGTTATGCATCCCTGCAAGAAAACAATGCTAAGATTAAGCCTTTCCAATCAGCTCTGGATTTGAGAAGCTAATTAGACCTCATGATTTTTAGTTTCTTCACTTATAAAACAGTTTCACTTATCTCACAATGCTCCTGAGAAGATAAAACACATGAGAAATGCTTTCAGTAATGTAGAACACGCCATAAAATTCAAAATGTGGTAATACCACCAAGACTTAGACTTGACTAATTTGAAGTTCATAAAAATTCTCACAAAGGTTTGAAGAAAAACTTCAGCACTGGACAAAATGAAGTGCAAACTAATTTACATTTAACTCAGGGCTACCACATAAAACTATAAACATACTTGGCACTGCTCAACTCTACAAAGGCACCAATACCACTCAGAAAGCCATGGCCCTATCCTAACCTTATACCAGCTGCCCCAGACGTTAAACTTGGAACCATTAATTTACAAGCAGCATCTTTGTGTTCTTGACCAGTTTGCTTGTCCTATTTAGAATTTGACTTTGGATTTTCTAAATAGGCATCAGTTCTGTCTCACAAAATTAGGATTAATATTCACCTTCTCCCTCCTCTACCGTCCATCTTAGTTAGGTTTTACTTATAGAAATATTAAAGATGTTTAATGAATTCTCTTAAGAACTTTACCTTTGTTTTCAGTTTTTTGTTTTCTTCTACAATAGCTTCATATTTCTCTTTCATTTCTGCCAATTCTAGACGAAGCAGCTCTATTTCTGGATTTTCTGGGGTAGCAGCTCCTAAGTGATGCTTTAAAAAACTAATTTTAAAGTTAAGAATTTACTCCATAGAGCTGAATGAAACAAATGAAATAGCTAGAATAGCAACCATCTCACCAATCAGAACCACACCACCCTCCCCCCAGTATTTACTCAGAGACCATCATTCAAAAAGTCAAAAGAAAGTAACTTTTTCAACAATCAAACTTTTCTTAAAGGCTATTATCGCTGTGAAAGAACAAAAGATAAAAATAAGTCCTTTTTCTGACTTAAGAAAAAATGAGAAGGATACTCCAAAGCACTATTAGGTTTCTCTGGTTCTTCGTATAAGGCTACCAACACTGAAAATCAAAAGACAGAAAGAACAATTAAAATTTTAATTTGAATGACTGAAATTATATTGCCTAATTCAAATATTAAGTGCCTGATTTACATCAAGCACATTGCTAAGCCCTGTCCATATAATGGTGAGAGTAGGAGCTCTGTTTTCAAGGAACTTTACTGCACAGTATTTCTCAAAGTGCAGAATACTGTCCCCCTGGAAAGTGAAATGATGGGGGTGGTGGGGGTAGTTGTAGCCTCAGAGTATAACTGAGTGGCTGGCTCTTACCCGTATTATTCTTCTCTCAGCCCCCCTTTTCTTGAAGCACCTAAATTTCTGTGACTGGTACTTATAAGGTTGATAAGTAGAAACATCATACTGTAAATATCAAATTTCCTGTGCTTTTCTATAGGTAAAACATATTTCCTTTTAAATCAGATAAGACCTGGGTACTCAGTGCTCCCGTGGTCACCTTTCTGCCTTAGCAAGAACTTTTCAAAGTTGATACAGTATTCAAAATAACTAAAAAGTCTGCCAGAGTGCATGCAGCCAACCGCAATTCAATTCCTGGCAACCGCAAGGGCCCCCTAAGTCCATCAAGAAGTGATCCTTGAAGGTCCTCACTAGGCCTTCACCATAAATCGAGTCCCTGCATTTCTCTGATTAAAATAATTATTACAGAGGTGATAGGAAGGAAACTGGGGGCATTGGTGGTGAGAAATGAACACTGGTGAAGGGATAGATATTGGAACATTGTATAACTGAAACCCAGCCATGAGCAACTTTGTAACTGTATATCTTACTGTGATTCAGTAACTAGTTTGAGGGGGAAAAAAGGAAGTGATCCTTGTGCAGAGCCAGGAGGAAACCAGAAAGCACAACACAACCAAAACAAACCAAAGCAAACAAAACAAAACACTCTATGACAGAATATATTAGAAATAATTTCAAATCCTCTTGGAAATACGCTGAAATAAGAGACATTTTTGTATCAGAAATTAACTGGATGAGTCTAGAGACAGAGTACAGCAGGTAAGGCTCTTGCCCTGCACAAGGCTGACCAGGGTTCCATCTCCAGCATTCCATATGATACCCTAAGCACTGCCAGGAGTGATTCCTGAGTGGAGAGCTAGGAGTAAACCCAGAGCATTACCAGGTGTGGCCCGAAAGAACAAAGAAAAAAAAAACTGGGTAGAAGTTATAAACTTTCCTCAGCACAACTGGGCCCTAGCATTGAACCATCCTGCCTGAATGAGTATCACAGCCAATGGTTCTCAGATACCCCACCCACCAAGGTAAAATAAACAATAAAATTATAATCATTTGTAAAGTACGTATGTTTGAGGCTGATAATGGCTTTTTTTGGTTATTTGGGGGGGGGAGCTAAGAGGGTCACACCAGACAATGCTCAGGGGTTAGTCCTGGCTCTGTCCTCAGGGATCACTCCTGGTGGGGCTCACAGAACATATGGGCGGTCAGGGAAACCCAACTCAACAGCATGCAAAGTAAGCGCCTTACCCACCATATTATTTCTATAGCCCCATGATAATGATATTTTAAATAGAATGCCTCAAAGGTTATCTCCTGATGTTATTTAGGAGACTGGAAATCGAGGAGGATTGAGGATGTGAGCGAGGGCATCCAGCAGATTCCTCTACCTATACGCACAGGGCTACATATTTTCGGTTACCTCCTACAACTGTCACTTCTCTGCCCTTTCTCATTCCATCTTTCTTCACCCACGTCCTCCAGTCTCTATCCTACAGTTCCTGAAATTCTTGACAGTACTGAGTACTTCTTCCAATTTCCACTCAAATGTAGCGTTTGAGTGGCCTTCCTCCACACCCTAGATACAAGGCATACCCACAGCTCTTTACTGCTTCACCACTTACCTGGCTATGTTTCATTCATAAGTTACCTCTAGCTCATACACTATTATGTCTCCCCCAATTAAGGTACAAACTTGTAGAGCAGAGATTTTTATTCCCCTTATTTCTATTCTAGATAGAAAACTGAATCAAAGTTGTTGAGTTCTTTTTATTTTATTTTATTTTATTTTTGCTTTTTGGGTCACACCTGGCGATGCACAGGGGTTACTCCTGGCTCTGCACTCAGGAGTTACTCCTGGCAGTGCTCAGGGGACCATATGGGATGCTGGGAATCGAACCAGGGTCAGCCGCATGCAAGGCAAACGCCCTACCCACTGTGCTATCTCTCCAGCCCCTGTTGAGTTCTTTTTAAATAAATGATCTTGTGAACATGTTTTGGGGCCACACCAGCTGTGCTCACCCCTTGCTCCACTCAGGGATCATTCCTGGTGGGACCATATGGGGTGACCGGGACCAAACCCTGGTCAGCAGTGTACAAGACAATGCCTTGCCTGCTGTACTGTCATTCCCTCCCCAACGTAGGTAGCATTTTAAAATCAACAGCTCATGCTTGAAAACTGAAAGCTGTTTTTCGAGGACCCAGAGCTATCCTTTCACAATTTCCACTTAACCTGTGCTTTGGCCAAAGAGCAGCTGCCCAATTATTTCCCAGACACTTAACAAGCTTCTATGGACCCAGATCATCATCCCTCAAAATTCTTCTGTTCTACACTTTTTGAAAGTCCCAGACAGTGTGTGGCGTGATTAAACCATTCAAATTATTGCTGCTGAGCTAATGAAATATATCACAATCTGTTGGAAGTCTTCGCCTTGAAGTACCTTATCTATCTACTTATTAAACCCCGTGGAAGAGCAATGAAAATAATATGACCACTTTGAGTTCCTTTAAACTCTTAAAAGCTGAAATTCCACTTTATTTTCTACAAAGTGAAATGCACATAGACTATCAAAGGGGGTTAAAAGCCCCATGCAAATTGATTATGAATCGCTTATCTGACTTAGTTATATAAATTTGGTCATTTTTCCAACATCCCCTTAGCTTTAGGGAAACTATTAGTAGGGCTTTGAAAAACGTCATAAAAACTAAAGTGGGTGGACCTGAGATCCCGGGGTCTTTAGCAAACCTGCCCACTGCCGGCTGCTAGAGGCGCAGCAACGGAAGTTAGACTTTGCAGCAGCTACAAGTTTCACTCCCGCCAGGAGTCTAGCATCAAGAGCGTGGCCCCTGACACAGGCGGATACCAGCGGGCAGACGTCCCCCCGAACCCATAGCCCACCCACCTTTCAGGAACCTTGCGACAGGTCCCACCTGTTTCCCTTTCGTCCCCCTGCCATGACCCCGCCAGGGAAACAGCGCCGAGTGGCACGACGAGGACACGAGGGACAGTCTCCTAGCCCATGCTCACCCTTGGTCAGCGTGTCCAGCACCCCCGACTTCTCCAAATACCTCCGGAACTGCTCGCGCTTCGAGTCTGCGGCCTGGGGAGATACGGCGGGTCAGTGGTCGAAGCCGGGTGCGGGAGCAGGAAGGCGCTGGAATCCGGCCACCCGCCTTCGCCGCGTTGCCTGAGCCCCCCCAAAACCTGCGCGCGCGTGCCCACCCCCGCTCAGAGCCGCCCAGCGCCTGGCTACCCCCCGCAAGCCCCCGAGACACGCCGCGCCCCCCTCACTTTGTAATGGGCCATAGTGACAGCGGCAGCCGCGGAGCTGGCGCCCGAGACCGTGGCTGGAGGACTTAGGGCAACACTGCTCATGCGCGGAAGGGCGCCTGCGCCTGCGCATTGCCTAGCCTCGGGCCGAAATCGCAGGGGTGTGGCCTGTTTCCATGGTTCCCAGGACGCTCAGAATGCCCCATGGAAGGCCGACCCGAGGGAGGCTGCGTAGGCCCGCCCCCGAGCGCCCGCGACGGCGTACCTCCTTCCTCTTCCGGTCCCCGCCGCGATCAGGGGCGAGCTTTCGGGATCTCGGAGAAGCTTAGGGCCCAACATTGGCTTCACGTGGAGCCGGCGGTGGGCGTGGCGCCGGGGGACTCGGCCTGCAGAGGCCCGCAGGGCTGGGGCGCCTCTTGGGAGAGGGGGCCACCGGTCCTGCCGGGGGACGTGAGTCGTGATAACTTAAGTGAGCGGCCGTCTGGACTCGAGGGCTTAAGGAGAATGTCTAAAACGTGTGATCTCTGGCTCCAGCTTTTACTCTTGGAGCCTCCTTGTTTTGTGATTTGGGCCTCCGGAGGGCGAGCTCCGTCCTTATTAAGATCCGTACTGTTGACAGCACATTTGCATCTTATAGTATGCCGTGCACTGTATGAAACACGTTTCTGAAACACTCTGAAATACGTTTCAGAAACACCGTCCTAGCAAAGGCGGAAATATAAGTAAAGTGGCCAGCGTGGGTGCCAGTGAGTTGCAGAGCCTCAAGACCCCAGTCTGGGCACTAAATCGTGGGACAATAAAAGTCATTAGTCATTTTAAGATTTTATTTACTAGCTATAACATAGTCATAAGAAAACAGTTGCGTACTGTAAGGAAACCTAAATTAAATCCCAGGGACAGACAAAATTGTGTCCAGAAATAAGAGCTTAACAACTAAAAAGAGAAATTATATGGATCATGAGTGTTAAATTATTTGGTCCTTTCAAAGGACCTTATTCCAAGCTATTAGCCACGATTCTGAATGTGATTTTTCCAAAATCGGTTTTCATGAATTCTGAAGGAACACTAAAAGAAGTAATACTGATCTGGCATTATTTGGTATGTTTGTATCTTTTAAATTAAAACTACCCTGTCTAAAGGACCAAACATGATGGCCTCTCAGTATCTGTATTGCAAACCATAATACCCAAAGGGAGGAGGGATGGGAGTTTGTGTGGAGAGGGAGAGGGAGAGAGAGAGACTGGGGAGAGAGATACTGGGAGTGGGAAATTTACACTGGTGGAGGGATGGGTGTTGGAACATTGTTTGACTGAAACCTGATCTGAGAGCTTTGTAACTCTGTATCAGGTGATTCAATAAAAATACATTGTTTTTGTTATTTTTTTAAATACCCTGTTACAGTTCAAAATCAAAACTTTTTTTTTCTCCTTTTCAAATAATTTTGCACTCTTCTTAACAGTTGGTCCTAGGCGTTGGAAATAATTCAAAGGGCCACAAAAGTGCTTTGCCTGAGGGAGGGTTGAAATTTGATCTGGATAGCTCTGACACTTGCACGCGACCCTGCCACGCCAAGCTGAAAGTAGCCCCTGAACATAGCTGGATGTAGCCCTTTCCCCCACCTCCTAAAAATAACAAGTTCTTAAAACTGTCTTGTTTGACTATGCTCAGCTAGCCTGCTTCTGTGATAATAAAGGTAAAGGTAAAAGGTAAAGTCCCTCCCGTTGATCGTCGATTTGCTCCAGCGGGCCCAGTAACGTCTCCATTGGAGACTTTGTTGTTACTGTGTCTGGCATATCGAATACTCTCGGTAGCTTGCCGGGCTCTTCGAGAGGGGCGGAGGAATCGAACTCGGGTCGGCCATGTTGGCCGCTTGTAAGGCGAACGCCCTACCACTGTGCTATCGCTCCAGCCCCTCATGATGATTTAAGGTAAAGGTAAAGGCCCTCCCGTTGATCGTCGATTTGCTCGAGCGGGCCCAGTAACATTGTGAGACTTGTTACTGTGTCTGGCATATCGAATACGTCACGGGGAGCTTGCCAGGCTCTGCGGTGCGGGCGAGATCCTCTCGGTAGCTTGCCGGGCTCTCCGAGAGGGGCGGAGGAATCAAACTCGGGTCGGCCATGTTGGCCGCGTGTAAGGCGAACGCCCTACCCGCTGTGCTATCGCTAGTCTCCCCAATGTCAAAAACGCTACAGATGTTCAGATATGAAGGCCTGTGGGAGCCCGCCTACCAATATGGTTCTTTGTCAGCAATGCTAAATGGTTTGGAAGATTAGCAGTAGAATCCCCGCAGGTTCTGACCAACTGAGATTCAAAAGACAATTCTCTCAAAGAATTTGGAGTTTCTGGCATTTCCAGTGGTTGAAAATGCCCTTGTGAAGGAGGAAGTGCTCTGAACATGAGCCCTCTGAACTGGCCCTTGGCATTATCTGTAGGAGGAGACACCTGATTTTCATAGTCTGTAGATGTAGGAAGCCACTTCAGTTTCCAGGTGCACTGAGGGGGCAGAGAGATGGTGACTGCATCAGGGGTTTATCCAGATCTCTAGGAACTGCTGACATAGACCAGTAACCTCTAGTGTAGTGGCTCCTTTTCTTGTCATTGGCATCAATTGCCTTTTTTCTCCTAAACTGGTTACCTTCTATTCCAAACATTTTATGACTGTCATCTTTATTACTGGAATCGGTATGCTGAGAAAGATTAGTACTAAATGTGCACCTCTCATTAAACGCTACCATTTCTTGTTCTTTCATAATGCATTTCTTACCAGTTGCACTACGTAGGTTTGTCAGAATCTGGATGAAATACAGGCAAATTTAAACTAATGGGTATTGCTGTGTGTGATTTGTATTTCCATTAACTGATTATAATTAGATACATAAGAGAATTGCTTCAGTGATCTTACATGTGTAGAATACTTGGTGGAAATTTGTTTTGACTTGTTCATGTAGAATTCATTATGTCCATCTTTCAATTTATGTTGTCCCCAGAGCCCTCTTTTAATCTTCTTTAAACCTAAGTAGAAAATTTCTAGAACATTTAAGAAAAGTGAAGCAGCAGCTATGGATTGCATAAGTAACAGAAATACTGTCTTTTCATTTGGTCTTGAAACAATCAATTATATTTGGACATGGATAGCGATGACATCTAAATAAAGGCCGTAGGTGAAATCCATATAAAAGATATTGTCCAACCATAAACCCAACTTTAACTACAGAGCGAGTGAAAATGTGTATCACATAAGTACAAGCAAGGTTCCTCTCAGGGGAGCTTTATTTAGTTTCTCTTGCCTCAACAGGCAAATTTCTTGCCCCAATTTCCTCTGTTCTCCAGGTGTTCCAAACTTTCCTCCCTCCAGTTCTCCTCTTAGTCGAACTTTCTTCCTCTGCCTCTCTTTCTCCAGAACGCTCAGGCGATATAAAGCATGGCCCATGAAAACCAGGGATGGTGAAGACACAAAAATCACCTGCAAAACCCAGTATCTAATGAGTGAGATAGGAAAAGCCTGGTCATAGCACACGTCTCGGCAGCTAGGTGGTTCTGTGTTACAGAGGAAGCCAGACTGCTCATCGTTCCAGACGTCATCTGCTGCTACACCCAGAACAAGCATTCGAAATATGAACAAAATGGTAAGCCAGATCTTTCCAATCACGGTGGAGTGGATGTGGACTTCTTCCAGTATGCCTCCAAGGAAATTCCAATCCCCCATATTTTTTTAGTTCACCATCTTAGCTTTGAATTCCAAGAGAGGGGCAGATGAATTTCTCCATTCTGAAAGCTATTTCTTCAAGCAATCCTATGGTTAAAATATGAACAAATCATCACTTTTAGTTCAGCTTATTCTTTTAACTTTTCCCTCTGAGAGCTGTGATAATCTGTTACTTATAATATAAGGGTCCTAGATGGCTCAATGGTTTGCACCACCACATGGTCCCTTGAGCCCATGGCCCCCCACGCACCACTGCGTGGAACTACATATAGTTAGGAATTTAAAATCATGTTTAGATCTCAGTAAAATAAAAATCATAGTATCTGGAAAAATATTTAAATTAATATTTAAATCATTTAAATGAATAGCATTCTCCAGCAAAAAAAAAAAATGAGTAGTGAAAATGTTGTCTAGTTCAGTTTCTACAGAAAGCAGTATGAAAATTTCTCAAAAAATTAAGAATGGAGCTTCCACATGACCCAGTGATTTCTTCTACTGGCATCTATCCCAAGAACACAAAAACATTAATTTGAACAGATGCACAACTCTGTTCCTTGCTGCACTATTTAAAATAGCAAAGATCTCTAAACAACACAAGTGATCAACAACAGATGAATGGGTAAAGCACTTGTGTTATAAATACAAATGAAATCATTGCCTTTTGCTACAACTTGGATGGAATCAGTGTTTGTCTTGTTAAGCAAGATAAATCAGGTGGAGAGGACAAGTGCCAGATGATCCTACTCATGTGGGATACATAAAGAAACAAAGGGAATAGACAACAGCATATGAAAACAAACCCATGAACTGTCAACAGAACTAAAGTTACAGAGGCCCAGAGGTCAGAAGAATGACTAGAAAGGACATAAGGACAATGGTTAAGGATCCTGGGCACTTTGGCGATGATGGAGGGAAAATAATTTTATACAATAAAAGCATAAACGTTAACACTATTGTAATGTTACCTGAATAATAATAATAATAATTTTTTAACTAGGAGCCAGAGAGAATACAAGTACAATAGTTGAGGCATTTGTTTTGCATGCTGCAAACCCTAGTTTGAATCTCCAGCATCACATATAGTCCCCAAGCTCCATCATGAGTGACCCCTGAGCTCAGAGAGAGCCTGAGTCCCACTGGGTGTGACCCAAAACATAGGGAAGTAATCTGAGGGTTTTTTTTTTTTTAAGGGGAGGCAGGGGTAGCCCACACCCAGCTATGCTCAGGACTTACTCCTGGCTCTGCACTCAGGAATCACTCCTAGTGGTGCTGGGTGTCATACAGGATGCCTGGAATCAAACCCAGGTCAGTTGTATGCAAGACAAATGCCTTACCCACTGTACTATCACTCCAACCCAAATTTGTTACTTTTTAAAACAATTTTTGGGAAATTTCCATAAACTACTGACTTGCTCTTACAAATTTATTAAGATTATATAAACGTGACTCAAATTCAATTATTTTTAAGCCTTATTTAAACACAAAGGAAAATGGTTATTTCATTTTTTAATTCAGTAAGATTCACCTTTGGGGGAAAGGAGGTTAGCCACCAAGCTGTGCTCAAGGGCCACTCTTGGAAATGCTTGGGAAACCATACGGGTTCAGAGGCAGAAACCAGGCCTTCTACAGATAAAGCGTGTCCTCCAGCCTTTGAGTCATTACCCCAACCCTTTAGTTCCTTTTTAAATTTATAGATTTACTTTGGCTTTGGGACCACACCCCGTAGTGCTCAGGGATTCCTCTTAGCTCTGTGCTTTGGGATCATTCTTGGTGTTACTCAGGGGACCACATGGGGAACCTAACCCCAGTCCACTGTGTGCAAAGAAAGCACCCTGCCCGCTATACTATCTCTCTGGCCCTTTGTTTCTTTTTTAAAAACTTGATAGTTGGAAATATTTGAAAAAGTACCAAATTTCTAAAACGTAGTTGTATTCCTTAGATAAAATTTCTGTCTTACTTTATTTTGAACCAGGGAAATAGTGCAGAAGGTTATAATGCAGGCCCTATTTGTAGGAGCCCCAGGTTGGATTCCTGGCACCACATTGTCCCCCAAGTACCACTAGGAATGATTCCCAATCACAGCTGGGTGCAGCCCAGAAATCAAAATAATAATTATCATGAAATTATGTGCTTATATAAAGGCATGTTATATATTGCTTCAATGCTATCCAGGTTATAAACGGAGTATTCTGGCCCTATCCTTGTCAATATATTGGTATATAGATGTGTAAAAAAAAAAAAAGAAGAAAAGGCCTAGAAGACTTTATAAAACTATTAACTATGATTATCTATATGTAATATAGTCATAATAGAAATATAGAGGTAAAAATAATTTTTCTTAAAAGACATTAATATTTTCTGAAAGGAGCACTGTTATTTACCTACTAATCTTAGGTTCTAAACTCCCATGTAAATGACATGAATATTAGTATTCTCTAGATACAGTACCAGAAAATTCAAAAGCAAAAAGGTAAAATCAGTTCAAACAACTCTCATAATTAGGTAAAGCAAAGAGACTGACACAAACCTTTCGTCATTAAGTAGATCAGATGCAAATAGTGCAGAAGTTACACTATCATTGTCAACTTGTTTAGCTTGTTCTCTGGGTCCCTTTGCAGGTGCAGAGCAGATTTAGTTCAGGTCAGTAGTGTGAGTCAGCCATCAGCTGAAGTCCACGTTCCCTTCAGCTCATTCCTGCTTCTAGCAGTGCTGTCCAATAGAACTTTCTATAGTGCTGTTGATATAGAGAATACATATGCATGACAATAAGGAAGCCAGTAGCCATGTAAGAGCTATTGAGAGCTGGTGATGTAGCTTGTGTAACAGGGAAATAAAGTTCCTAATTTTATTTAATCAATTAAAATTTAAGAGCTATTTATGCCTGGTGGCCATTTTATTGAACAACACTGGTGGAATACTTCAATATTTCTGATAGTACAGGACCATTTAGAAAATTATATTTATTCAGTTGAGTTGAATGTTTCATCTGTAATTCAGAGATGTCAAATTTAAAACACCAGATATTTGTGTGTTTTCAATGGTATTTTTCCCAGGTTATTGTTTTTGATGATGTGGATAACATTTCTAGCAGCAAATAGGTTTTCTTGCTAAATGATGACTCTAGTCATCAGTCTTAATAATCAAGAGGTCATGTTCCATCTAAAATTAACTGAACCCTGATTGTCTAGTTTTTTGTTATTAATAATTACACTGCCCTTGAGGTCATTAAGTTCACTATTCAGTGACAGTAACCTGGTGAGCTGGCAGAAAAAATATTTCTCCCTTGGACCTCTTTGCCAACTTTAATTAATCAGGTTAATTAATCTCTAGCATTAATTATTTAAAAATTGTACATCTGTTCAAATTTTATATATAAAGTAGTTTTATTGGGGTCAGAGTGATAGCATTGCGAATAGTGTACTTGCCTTGCACGTGGCCAACCCACTTTCGACCCACTTTTTCCCCCAGCATCCCTTATGGTTCCCCATGCACCACCAGGAGTAATTCCTAATAACAAAGTAGGAATAACCTCTGAGCATCACCAGTTGTCCCCACCCCAAAAAAACCCAGCTTTATTAAAGTACATATCTAAAAATGTAAATTATATATACACTGAATAAAATTAAGTGTCTCATTATAAGAGAACTAAACAAGTAAATATTTTAATAATCAAAATGCAAAGTTTTCAAATATTTATAATACCTAATTTGGCAAAAATAAGGGAATTGTTGCTCTTAAATACTGTCAGTAAGAAAATGGATAGAAAGGCAGAAAGATAGAGAAATAGTACAAAGACTAAGGCACTTGCCCTGCATGGCTCAGCTCAGCCCTGTTTGAGCACAGAGCCAGGAGTAACCCCAAGCACTCTCAGGCATTTTCTAAACATTCCCCCAGTGGAGGAGAGTACAGACTTTCAAGTAATTATCCATCTTTAAAATCTGCCCTTCTTAGACAAATTACTTGATTTTTGGGGGGGATGGGGGGAAACCATACCTGGCTGTGCTCATTTTGGGACCATACATGGAGCCCAGGATCAATCACAAGTTGGCCACATATAAAGTATGTGCCTTCAATATCCCTGATGAACACGGATGTGAAGATTCTCAACAAAATACTAGCCAATAGAATTCAACAACTCATCAAAAAGATAATACATCATGACCAAGTGGGATTCATCCCAGGGATGCAAGGATGGTTCAAAATTCAGAAATCAATCAACATAATCCATCATATCAACAAAAGATAAAAATCATATGATCATATCAATAGATGCAGAGAAAGCATTTGACAAGATCCAGCACCCATTCATGATGAAAACCCTTGCCAAAATGGGAATAGAGGGGGCTTTCCTCAATATAGTTAAAGCCATCTACCACAAACCTACAGTAAACATCATCCTCAATGGGAAAAAACTTAGAGCCTTCCCCCTAAGGTCAGGGACGAGACAAGGATGCCCACTTTCTCCACTACTGTTCAATATAGTACTGGAAGTACTTGCAATAGCAATTAGGCAAGAAAAAGATATTAAGGGCATCCAGATAGGGAAAGAAGAAATTAAGCTCTCACTATTCACAGATGATATACTATACTTAGAGAACCCTAAAACCTCTACCAAGAAACTCCTAGAAACAATAGGCTTGTATAGTAAAGTGGCAGGCTATGAAATCAATACCCATAAATCCATGGTTTTCCTATACGCAAATAGTGAAAGAGAAGAAAGTGACATGAAGAAAACAATCCCATTCACAATTGTGCCCCAGAAAATCAAGTACCTGGGAATCAGCTTAACTAAGGAAGTAAAGGACCTGTACAAAGAAAACTACAAAACGCTACTTCAGGAAATAAAAGAGAACACGAGGAAATGGAAAAATATCCCCTGTTCATGGATGGGGAGAATCAACATTGTCAAAATGGCAATACTTCCCAAAGCACTGTACAAATTCAATGCAATCCCTATAAGGATACCCATGACATTCTTCAAAGAAATGGAGCAAACACTCCTGAAATTTATATGGAACAATAAGCCCCCACGAATAGCTAAAGCAATTCTTGGGAAAAAGAAAATTGGAGGAATCAACCTACCTAACTTCAAGCTCTACTACAAAGCAGTAATAATTAAAACAGCATGGTACTGGAACAAAGGCAGAGCTGCAGACCAATGGAACAGAGTTGAATATACTGACATCTCCTCCCAAACATATAATCATCTAATCTTCGATAAGGGGACAAGAAAAGTGAAATGGAGCAGGGAAAGCCTCTTTAATAAATTGTGCTGGCAAAACTGGACGGCTACATGCAAAAAAGTGGGCTCAGATCTCTGCCTAACACCATGTACAAAAGTAAGATCAAAATGGATCAAAAACCTCAACATCAGACCAGAATCCATAAGGTACACTGAAGACAAAGTTGGCAAAACCCTCCATGACACAGAAGCTAATGGTATCTTCAAAGATGTCACGCCACTGGCCGAGCAAGTGAAAACAAAGATAGACAAATGGGACTATCTTAAACTAAGAAGCTTCTGCACCTCCAAAGAAACAGTGACCAAAATACAAAGACAGCCTACAGAATGGGAAAGGATATTCACCAAATACACATCTGACAAGGGGTTGATATCAAGGATATACAAGGTACTGGTTGAACTCCACAAGAAGAAATCACCCAACCCCATCAAAAAATGGGGCGAGGAAATGAACAGAAACTTTCGCAAAGAAGAAATCCGAATGGCAAAAAGGCACATGAGAAAGTGCTCTACATCACTAATCATCAGAGAGATGCAGATCAAAACAACAATGAGATATCATGTCACACCACAGAGACTGGCCCACATACACAAGAACAAAAGCAACCAGTGCTGGCGTGGATGTGGCGAGAAAGGGACCCTCCTTCACTGCTGGTGGGAATGCCGGCTGGTCCAACCCTTTTGGAAAACAGTATGGACGATTCTCAAAAAATTAGAATTTGATCTCCCATTTGACCCAGCTATGGCACTCCTGGGAATATATCCCAGAGAGGCAAAAAGGTATAGTCAAAGTGGCATCTGCAATTGTTTGTTCATTGCAGCACTCTTTACAATAACCAGAATCTGGAAAAAACCTGAGTGCCCGAGAACAGATGACTGGTTAAAGAAACTTTGGTACATTTACACAATGGAGTACTATGTAGCTGTTAGAAAAGATGAAGTTATGAAATTTACATACAAGTGGTACTACATGGAAAGTATCATGTTAAGCGAAATGAGTCAGAAAGAGCGGGATAAACACAGAAAGACTGCATTCACCTGGGGAACATAAAGCAAGAAAAAGGGAGACTAACACCCAGGAATGGTTGAGATTAGTACCAGGAATTTTGCTTTATGACTTGAAGGCCAGCCACACGTGCTAGGTGAAAAGGAAGCTCAGATAGAGAAGAGAGCACCAAATAAAGGGTGTTGTGAGGACCCTCCCAGGGTGGGAGAAGCATGCTAAAAGTAGTCTATAGACCAAACATGATTGCCACTCAATGCCTCTCTTGCAAAACACAGTACCCAAAAGAAGAGAGAACAAGGGGGAATGCCCTGCCACAGAGGCAGGGTGGGATGGGGAGGATGGGGGGTGGGAGGGATGCTGGGACCCGTGGTGGTGGAGGATGGGCACTGGTGGAGGGATGGGTACTTGATCATTGTATAACTGAAACCCAAGCACAAAAATGTTTAAGTCTATAACTGTACCTCATGGTGTTTCACTAATAAAAAAAATAAAATAAAAAAGTATGTGCCTTAACCCCTATACTACCTCTCTGGCCCCAAGTTATCTAATTTTTTAACAAGAGTTTCTAATTCCTGCTCTCTAAAGCATAAAGTAATAGCTACCTTTCTGAATTGTTAAAAAGATCAGAAATAAAGTATATAAAGCATCTCAAACAATGTTCTATTTTGGGGAACAGTTGTCAAAAGTGACTATCAACAGTCTGACACAACATCTGAAAAGTTTTTATTACTAGTACAGTACAATTCATGGGCTCTATCAAGAAATTTCTCTCAGATTCTCCAGGAAGAACAATACTTCCAGACCTGTACATAAATGCATACAATAGACCTGGGAAAGGCCCAACATCTGGTTTTCACTTCTCATTTCTTAGTTCTTCTTCCCTTGCTTTGCATCCAGAAACTACTTCTTCAGCCTCTTAAGCACTGATGGCTTCCAGTACCATTTTGCCTGTTTATAAAATTGCTAGCATTTGCTGGGTCTTCTGTCTCTTTGTAGATTTTTCCAGATATTTATTGTTCTCTCGCAGATGGCTCTCTTTAGTCCATTGGTTTATGTTAGGGACAGGTCAGTTTGCTGGAGATAGAAAAATATTGAAAAACACAGCAAATACAGTAAAAGCTAAATAAGCTGCAATTGCTATCCAAAATCTTGGATCTCTCAGCAGTGCTTTATCAAAGCAGCTAAATACAGTGTAACCTATGGACATTCCAGCAAATCCTCCTGCAATGTGAGCTGCAAAAGATACCTGTATAAAAAAAAGAGGGGGGGAATGGAAATAAGTGATAAAAATATTAACCACATACTTCAGTTTCATCTATTACTAAAAAAAATAATACCATCAAGCCAACCAAAAGTCCTAAAAGTCTGAAGTACAGGGAAGTAAGGCAAGAGTCAGAAAACTCCATATCCACAAAAAGAAGGAAATGTTCTAAAACATATGCAAAGCTTAAAAGAATCTTATTTCACAGGTTCTGAGTACACTTCTACTCAGTTCTCAGTACAACTGAGGACAAACAACACGAGCCATTGTTTCTCATTCTTAATCACCATCATCTTTAGAATGGTTCTATATAGTTCAATCAAGAGGAGTAAGAGTTGGGAGTTCCCAAAATGGATCTCTGTAGAAACATAATATAATCCCACATAAGTACTATCAGAACTAAAACATCATACATAAATGCTCAAATAGAAATAGCCAAATTCAAAGACTAATGCCAATAAAATCGGAAATGTTCGTTTAATTTACATTGTAAATTTTTCTGACCCCCAAAATTCATTGCTCTTTCCAGTATGCATTTTTTTGTCTGTAAGCAGAGAAATCCCTTTCTCTCTTACTCTGGAATAGCTTCCACTATGGCAGCTGCAGAGAATCTGAGCCAATGGTCAGCGCTGTAAGTAAAAGGGTCAATCCCAAATCCTGAGTTTCTCAGGAAAAAATTTCCAAATGGAAATCACTGCCTAGAATTTAAAAACCATTGTCCCACTTAACAACCTTTTTTAGCTATTGATATCACAGGTAAAGACTTTTTCATAAAAATGATAAACTGAACTTACCCGTGACTCCTTTCCAGAAACAAAGAATCTTCTATAGAGGGCGAATCCCATATCTGACATGACTGCAAGGAAAAACAGCTTGATGAAGTCCCGGTATCTTCACCACAGGGTGCCAAATGGTTTCAGTTCCCCTCTAATCACGGTAGCAGCTCACACTGATTGATACTTTCCTAAGAGCTTTACATGATTAACCTTGTATTGTTCACCCTCACAAAGACCTGAGCAACCAGGTATCATCCCATTTTGAAGCTTTATTCATCCAAAAACTGTTTATAGTTTATTCCATGCCAGACACGTATGATCCCAAAATGTGCACAGCCCGATATGGTCCCCAAAACAAAAAAAAAATCAAGTAATTTGTCTAAGAAGGGCAGATTTTAAAGATGAATAATTACTTGAAGGTCTGTACTCTCCTCCACCGGGGGAGTGTTTGGAAAATTCCTGAGGGTGCTTGGGGTTACTCCTGGCTCTGTGCTCAAACAGGGCTGAGCTGAGCCATGCAGGGCACATGCCTTAGTCCCTGCACTATCTCTCTGCACTTCTATCCATTTTCTTACTGACAACATTTAAGAGCAACAATTCCCTTATTTTTGCCAAATTAGGTATTAAAAATATTTGAAAACTTTGCATTTTAATCATTAAAAAGATTTACTTGTTTAGTTCTCTTTTACACTGTTATACTGTCCTCCCACTGTTCATTAATTTGCTCGAGCGGGCCCAGTAATGTCTACATTTTTGAGACTTATTGTTACTGTGTTTTGGCATATTGAATATGTCTCGGTAGCTTGCCAGGCTCTCCAAGAGGGGTGGAGGAATTGAATCCGGCTCGGCCGGGCTGGCTGCGCGCAAGGCAAACACCCTATCGCTCTTATAATGAGAAATTTAAAATTTTTATTCAGTGTATATATAACTTACATGTTTCCGATATGTATTTTAATAAAACTGGTTGTGAATTTCCTAGGAGTGAACAGATCACACAACTCTGCTTTATGGGGGCAGAGTTTGGGCAGATTAACCAATAAAACATACAGTATATCAAATGATGCTAAGGAAAATGGGGGATGCTGGGAGTAGGATGTAAGTTTACTAGAGTCAGGGAGTATCTCACTGAGAACAAGATATTTGATAGAGATTAACATGGAATCACTAGTGCAGGTAGAAAGAAGAGCAAGTTACAAGTTCCTCACGCAGGAAGATTCCTGGTGTGTTTTGAGAAAAAACAAAGCTGTTGTTCCAGCTGGGTCAGTTATTTTTTTTTCTTTAATTATACTATATTGAATCACCATGAGAAAGTTACAAGCTTTCATGTTTGGGTTACAATCACACAATGATCTAAGACCCGTCCCTCCACCAGTACACATTCCCCACCACCAACCTCCCCAGTATACCCCCCTTCCCCACCCTTCCCCTGCCTCCATGGCAGACAATATTCCCCATACTCTCTCTCTACTTTTGGGCATTATGGTTTGCAATACAGACACTGAGAGGTCATCATGTTTGGTCCATTATCTACTTGTGGCACACCTCTCCCATCCTGACTGATTCATCTGATTCAGTGCTCATTGCAGCACTGTTCACAATAGCCAAAATCTAAAAACAACCCAAGTGCCCTAGAACAGATGACTGGTTAAAGAAACTTTGATACATCTACATGATGGATTACTATGCAGCTGTTAGAAGAAATGCAGTCATGAAATTTGCTTATAAGTGGATAGACATGGAGAGTATCATGCTAAATGAAATGAGTCTGAAAGAGAGGGGCAGACATAGAAGGACTGCACTCATTTGTGGAGTATAAAATAACATAATATGAGGCTGACACCTAAGGACAGTAGATACAAGGACCAGGAGGATTGCCCCATAGCTGGAAGACTGCCTCATGAGCGGAGGGGAGAAGGCAGATGGAATAGAGAAGGGATCACTAAGAAAATGATGGCTGGATCAGTGATGACAAAAGCATAATCCCTGCCACTCTGTCTCTCTTCTCCCACAAGAAAAAAAAGCAGCAGCAGAAGCAGCAGCATTAACACCTATAAATTTAATAGAAATCAAAATTCTCAGGCCCAGTCCACACTTAGTAAACCAAAAACTCTTGAGGTGGAACTCAGGAGTTTAAGAAGCCCCTGAGGTGACTGTGACTCAAGTTAGGGATAAAGTGATAGATAGGAAATCAGGTAGCAGAAGACAGTTTGTGTGGAACCCTTCTGAGCCGCTGGGAGGAGACTGGAGGTAGGGGGTGGGGGTGGGGAAGTCTTTGGGAGTTACATCATCTAACTCAGTTTTTCTAACTTCTTTCCAACCCTGGTCCCCTCCGACCTTGTTTACTTCCTGATGTTGGCAGGTTGATAGAAACGGGTCCCCAGGGCAATGGAATTCCTAACCAATAAACCAAGACTGTAAAAAGCCCACGTTGCAGACACAGGAACTAAGACCTGATAAGACTTCATTTGGCTCCAACAGACCCAGAGAAGGCTGTACCCCAAAGAAAAGAATTTCAAAGAAGATCATCAACCACTTCCAACTCTACCCCCTTGGAAACCACCCCAGCAAAAGCCTCATATCTAGCTAGAAAGCCCCACATGGAACAACTTAAAAAAAAAAAACTATAAAAGCAATCTGAACAAAGGAAGCGTGCACACATACTGCCTGAACCCATGTGCTGCTTGTGTCCACATGGCCAAGCACATGTAGTGCCTGAGCACATGTGTTGCCTACATCTCCCCTCTTGAGATGTGTACTGGGGTATGCTCCACCTTTGGAGAAGCCTGTGTTATCTCTGAGAGCATTATTCTATCTCTTCTCTTTCTCTCCCTTCCTCCCATTCCTCAAAAAATCTCCAAATCTGTTTTTACTTCAGTGCTCATCTCATCCTGAAATTCTTTTCTGTAAGAAAGACAACGACCGGGAGGCCTGGGGTAAGGCCTGAGACTGGATATTTTATCGGTCTTAGCCTTCCTCTCCAGTCCCAAGGTGGCAGAGGTGGTTCTGGAGAAAGTGGCCATTTCTCTCCTCTCCACCTCACATAAGTCACCCACGGGGGCCCACCAACTTCACTTCCTGTGGCATCTAACCTACCAGTTGGTTCCCCTCCCCACCCGACTATATGATTTTTACTGTGGACTCCTCAGAATATCTTGGGAACCATATCTAACATGAGTTAACCTATGTTTTAAAAGATCCTTCTGGATGCTTTATATAAAATTGACATTATGGAAGCAAGGACCAGAGCAGAGAGATCTACAAGACTGTACAAGACCAGCAATTCTAGTGAAGATTGCTAATCCTAGTACAACTGTACTCATAAGAAATGAGGGTAGCAGCATTTCAGGCATAATAAGCCAAGACACAGAGGTTAAGGTTCACAGAGTTCAAAGCCAGGGACATATTTTGAGCTGTAAGTAGTCAGGCTTGAGGAAATTCCACATTGCCCACCACATGGATGGCCTTGTTACTGAGAGTCCTGAAGATGGGCCAGGAAAGGGGATGATGCACATCCTCCAGTGGAACAATGAAAGCCAGAACCTAGCTTTCTCCAAATAAATCGCATCAGTTCTGGGGTTTCTTTGCCTCAAAGAACTCTGCCCTACATGTGTCAGCACTTGGAAACCTCTAGTGCAGCTGTCACATTCCACACCATCCCCCAGTTCTCTGGATGCCTCTTAGTGACTGCAATGTCCTAGGAGTTGAAAAGACCCAGAGAGGCCTCCCCTTGGGGGAGAATTGCTGTGGGTCTGTGTGTTCTGATTAGCTTCAATACAGTATTGACACTGAAGTCACAGGGCAGGAATTAAGGTCAAGTTGTACATGACAATTTTGCTGTACATGACTTCTGTGGCTCTGTGGAATTTTGCATTTGAATTTCCAGCTCTACCAGTATTAAGAATGTGTGAAAAGGACTGGACAAGTTTAGGAAGAGGACTGGCTACAGACAGCCCTATGGTTTAGTCTTCCACAATGGAGACCTGCTCTTGAAAAGGCTTTGTAGCTTCAACATGTCAGTTCTTCATTCCATTTCTCCTTGATCTTGTTCCCTACCCCAGAGATCTGCACAGCTTGTCCTGATTCCAGGCGAGTTTGCTTCTTGCTTCTACATCTCTGAACAAAGACCTCTCTTACTAACTGAAAAAAGTCCTTATTGCAATACACCAAATAATTTTTAGTGTCCTCACTAAAAAATGTATACATTTTAAGAATGATTATATTTGCGTTGATATTTAAAAGGTTGAAAGAGTGAGATTCCCATAATCTTTCCCAAAAGAGAAACTCGGCTGCTTTGTTAGAAAACATATTTAACAAATAATGCTTAAATGAGATGAGGTCCTTAAAGCCAGTTGTCCTTCACAATTAATAATTCTTAGGGGCCAATATGATAGTCCAGAAAAACATTTGCCTTGCATGTGGCAACAGGAGCCTTGACCCCAGGGTTCAAATGCCCCATACCACATATGGTCCCCACCTCCTAGTACTGCCAGGGGTCACTCCTGAGCACAAAGTCAGAAACTGTCCCCGGTATAGGACTAGCCAGGTATAGCACAGTACACCTCTCCTCCCCAACCCCCCCAATAAAATTTAGGACCAGGAAGACAACTCAGTGGGTCAGAGTACATGATTTCCATGTTGGAGGCCTGGGCTTGACCCATCCCCCCATACCACATGCCCCCTGAATATCTCAGAGTTTGGGCCTCCTCTGCCTCCCAAATAGTACTTACTATTACAAATATATATAGCACGGTAAGCACCGGTCCTCCCGTTGTTCATCAATATGCTCCAGCGGGCCCAGTAACATCTCCATGTGAGACTTGTTGTTACTGTGTTTGGCATACTGAGCCGGAGGAATCAAGCCGGGCAGCTGTGTGCAAGGCAAACGCCCTATCGCTGTGCTATCCCTCCAGCCCACAAATATATATATACATGTGTACATTTTCCCATGGAGATGTGTTTAAAACTAAAACATTATATTTTATGAATCTAGAATGTATTGTAACTTTTTTCACTTTGAATAGTAAACAAACTAGGCAGAGAACTTTCAGAAAGGACATGTGCCGAGAATGGGGAAGGTTAGGCCTGTACTCTACTCTGCAAGGTGTTGTGGAATATAATCTTTCAGAGACTCAGTATTTAACTCAATGATAACATAATGTCATACAAACTATCTTTTGTCTGTTTCTTTTTTCATGAGCCACACCTGGGTGCTACTCCCAACACATGCTCAAGGGCTCATGTGTGCTGGGGATCAAACCTGGGACACCTGCATGCAGAGGATTGGCTCACTTTGAACTCTTTCTTCAGCCCTACATAAACTATCTTTTGGACATTCCCTGTATCTGCAGAAGTGACTTTTATTGTAATGTTAGGAATGATAAGTGGTATTGGACCAATTTTCTCCTCAAGGGTTTGAGGGTTTTTTTTTAACAAGTCAGTAATTAATTACAAGAAACAATCTGACTAAAGACCAGGTAACTTGTAAGACAATATTTTTCAACCAGAGAACTTGGTGCCTGAGTTCTGGTAGTGACAACCCAAGTGACAGTTCTGGATCACAGAAATTCTCTGTCTCTTTTATTTAAATTTTTATTTATTTATCTCGGCTGGAGCGATAGCACAGCGGGTAGGGCGTTCGCCTTACAAGCGGCCAACATGGCCGACCCGAGTTCGATTCCTCTGCCCCTCTCGGAGAGCCCGGCAAGCTACCGAGAGTATTCGGTATGCCAGACACAGTAACAACAAAGTCTCCAATGGAGACATTACTGGGCCCGCTCGAGCAAATCGACGATCAACGGGAGGGCCTTTACCTTTACCTTTACCTTATTTATCTATTTTGGGTGTATTTTGGGGGGGGATGTATTCCGCTATCATACCCCATGGTGGTGCTCAAGGATCACTCCTGGCAGTGCTCAGGAGACTACGTGCAGTGCAAAGTTTGAACCCGGGTGCCCTTGTGCAAGACAAGCCCGCTGTACTGTCTCCGGCCCCACAGCAATTCTGTTAGCTAATTCTCTCACCCATTCTCTCCTCTTGCAGCTCACAATGTTCCCTCACTTTAGAGAACTTCTTTGGGAAGAAAGATGAATAACAATGGTATAAACTATAAACAAATGGCTTCTTTCCTCTCAGAGTGCAATACTGTTTGCTTTAGTGTTTTCAATCACAGAAGCACCACGAGTTCTACCACTGCACCAAAAACTGAAAAAAAAACTTAACAGTTGAAATGTTTGTAAGTGAAATTTAGTCCCTAATTCATTTGTCCCCATTCCCATAGAGACACATCGTGTATAATAAAAACTGTTACTGAATGGCAGAATCAGTATTTCTTACCATGGAGACAATAAAAATCTTATACTTTAGGGTTTGGGGGAGCTTGCTGAAGGGGCTAGGCATACTTTGTATGTGGGAGAACCAGATTCTATCACCAGCATCATATAGGCCCTGAGTAACACAGATACCATCCAAATATCCCCTCCCCAAATAAAACCAAAAATGTATCAAATGTCAGCTCTGGTGTGGCCTCCAACTCTGACCGAGAGTGTAAACCCAGATCTGCCATCTCTTCTCTCCCTCCATGTAGGTTCAACTCTGGCAGGAGCAAGTAGGAAAACATGGCACTAGCCCTGACTCTGACTGTCTGTCTCCTGTCACCTTCTAAAATCTGCACTTTTAGACCCAGCTAAACCAGCTCCTCCTAGAGTCAACATTCTTCTCAACAACAGGAGCCTGTAATTCCGTGCTTAAAGATGTCCAAAACCACATTAGTCCTCTTCCTTCTTTCCTGGACTCTCAGTTTCCTTCACTCTGCTCTCACCTTCAATCCCAGCTACTGCCCCATGCTTATATCCTAAAATGTGAGACATTGAGAGAAAAATAGATTTTTAATCAATGGCTCTCAAACTTTTTCCTTTCAGACCAACCCATTTATAGAATGAAATGCATGAGTGAAAGAAAACAATCCTGTTTGTGAATGTTTCTACTATAGTTGAAGTGGAAGGAGTACCGAACACTCCACTTTCTTCAGATTCCTTTGCTCCAGATAAAAACAAAGAGCAGGGCTGGAGAGAGTGCAGGAATAACACAAAGAGAGAGAGCATTTGCTTTGCACTCAGTGGGCCCTGTTTCAATGCTGGACACCATATATGGTCCTTCCAGAGCACAGATCCAGGAGTAAGCCATTAGCACCACCAGGCATGACCCAGGAACCAAAAGGAAAAAGAAACAAACAAAAAATACAAGTTACTGAGGCACCGTTCAAATCACCCAGGTCTATAAAAACTCCACCATTAACACCTTTCTCCTTAGAGCTAAGGAGTCCATAATTCCTTTTGATTCTAGGACAGCAATCATCCTATATGTTAGTCTTAGGAAGAGAGAGAAGTTTTCTGAAAAGTGAATTGATTGTGTGAAGTGTCCCCCAAACAAACCTACTTATAAAGGTGATGATCAGTAGTCTGAAAATTCCAAAGGCAGGAATCATTTCTCGAAAATTCTTGAAAAGAAAAAAACAATATAAACTATTAGCAAACACAACTGGTCAACTTTACCTGCTTCTTTGCTTAAGTAGAGTTTCAGTAGCAAATATTTGTGAGACAAATCATTGATGTAACAAGTACTTCAAATGTTTTGGGAAAGTATAATGCTGGTGTACTCTGGAGACCCAATGGAACCATAATTCTTAATTTCATGATCAAAACAACCCAATTTTATTAGCAGAAAATATTCTAAAAATAAGTAATATTAAATCAGTACTTAGCATGGTATTGGGAAGATAGATGCTTTCAAACTAAGCTTAATGAAATATTTCTAAGGAATTACAATGAAATATTTTGGGAGTTGGCCTGGAGCGATAGCACAGCGGGTAGGGTGTTTGCCTTGCACACAGCATATGGGAACAACCTGAGTTCAATTCCTTCACCCCATCAGAGAGCCCAGCAAGCTACCGAGAGTATTCCACCTGCACGGCAAAGCCTGGCAAGCTACCTGTGATGTATTCGATATGCCAAACACAGTAACAACAAGTCTCACAATGGAGACATTACTGGGCCCGCTTGAGCAAATCAATGAACAATGGGAGGACAGTACAGTACAGTGCTATTTCTGGAGTTATTTTTGATCAATATTAATTTGACAAGACTATTCCATTTCTGTATAAGAATTAGCAAAGACATAATTTTGAGTGCCACCTTTTTGGGGAGATAATTATTTTAAAAACTAAAAATATTAGTTATAAAAAACAACCATATTGAATTGAGCGTTCAAGAATTTTTGCCCACCTGTAGTGAGGGGCCAGTTTTGATAGAAAACAATGGGTCAGAAAGACACTTATTCTACAATTTATTGAGTTGCTTCTTTCTTCCCTTTCAAATCGTTTACTCTCTTTCCAAGGGAGTAATGATATGGAAGTAGCCATGTTTACTTTATTGGTTTCTTTGGAGAGGGCGATACCCAGCTGTACTCAGAGCTTACACCTGGCTTTATGCTCAGGGAAGCTTTAACCATGATGGGGGATTATATGTGATGTCAGAGATCAAACCAGGTCAGCCATGTGCAAGGCAAGTGCCTTAGTCTAAGTATTATCTCTCTAGTACTTTATTGATTTTGTTTGTTTGGTTTTTAGAGATTTTTTTCTTGTTTTGGGTTTGTTGGGGGAGTTGGGGAGGTTGTGGGGTTTTGTTTGTTTGGGTTTGTTTTTTTATTTTGCTGTTTTTTGTTTTGGGCTATACCTGGTGATTCTCAGGGGTTACTCCTGGTTCTGTGCTCAGGAATTACTCCTGGTGGATTCGGGACCATATGGGGTGCTAGAGATTGAGGTGGGTCACATGCAAGGCAAGTACCTTACCCCCAAACTATCTCTCAGTCCCAATATTGTTTGTTTGTTTAGCAGATTTATTTTTCTGGTGCCAGAATCAAAACTAAAATCTCACACATTCAAGACATATGCTCTACCACTGAACCACATCCCCAGTCCTAGCTCTGATTACTGTAAATCATTTATTCTCAAATTGTTACAGTCTCAACCTATAGTATAGAAAGCAATTAACATGGTAATCAGTGTATGTAAATGAAACAATTTAACTCATACAATGATGCATACTGAATTTTCCATTCTTTTTGTTTAATTTTTGGTCACTGACTTAAAATGAGTTAATAACCACTAACCAATTACAATCCAAAGTTTGAAAAATATTTGTCTGAGTTGCTTCTATATTTGTGACAGCTTTATAATTTTTCACAGTACTTTTAAAGCACACCTTCATGGTTAAAGAAGTTAAAACTAGGGACCCAAGCAGTAATATAGTAAGTGGGACGCTGGGTAGCCCTCGGTTTGATCCAGGCACAGAACCAGGAGTAACCCCTGGGCATATGGTCCCATGAGCTCATCCATGAGCGATCCCTCAGTGCAGAGCCCTGAGCACTGCCAAGTGTGGCCCCTCTCCCCACACGAAAAATATAATGAATTTAAATTAGTCTGAATTTTAGCCTGTTTTATTTAGGGGGAAGGGGCTGGGGTCACACCTGGTAGTGTTCTCAGGGGCAATTACCAGTTCTGTGCTCAGGGGTCACTCCTTGCAGTGTTCAGGGGAGCATATTATGTCTGAAAAACTGTACCAGATCAGCCACACGCAAGGCAAATGCTTTACCCTTTCCCCTACTATCTCTCCAACACCTAGTCTTTTTCAAAAAGTAGTTGGCATTCTCACATACTGTACCTTGGGAGTATGAAATCGTATGCCAACTGTGGAGGACAATTTGGCATGATCTATGACAATTTAAACCATCACCCAGTGGTTCATCTAGTAAATCCCCTTTGAGGTATTTATCCTACCTCCTCTCCCACCTACCCCCCAAAACGCAAATGTGTGAAAGATCATTCCTTATTACATTATTTGTATGAAAAGCTGGAAACCACCCCTAGTTTGTTTCAATAAAGAATTAAATATATCATGATGGGGTTGTATTAAGGGTGCTGATGAAGCAACTTGAACAAACTGAGGTGAGGTTTCTGTCTAAGTACTGACACGAATGGCTGGCCAGAATAGTTTATATAAAGACACACAGAGTAGGGCTGGGAACATAACATGTAAAGTTGATTCTGTTTCTGTAATGTTAATATTGATAGGATTTTAAATACACATGGGGAAAAATCCTGAAAGGAAATATACCAAACTACTAATAAATATTTATCACTTTGAATTTCTGTTATTAAATTTAATTTTTTATTTATTTTGGCAACATCATAATGTAGCATATAAAGATATAGAACGATAATGTACACTTGAACCCGACATAATGCTTTAAACCAATATTCCCATACTAAAAATTAAAGTTTACCTAATATTTAGTACTTTTGAGAGGAGTAGGGAGAAGCAAATATAAAATATGGAAGCAAAAGTATGGTAGCCCTATATTTCTCCAAAAGAATAGGAGTACTTAGCATATATGGGAAAAATGAACATTTATTGAACCAAACACCAATTATTTTCTTAAAGATGCCTAAACTCCATTCCCAAGGTTCTTACCACTAAAACGTTCATAAAATAGCCTCCCATCAGAGCATAGACTCCTCCTGACGCACCCACCAGAAACTTGAGCGGGTCAAAGATGGAGCTGGCAAGAGATCCTAAAGAGATAAAACACGAAGGATCAAACATAAATATTGGGATCACTAATGGTAAATCTTCATGAAGTAAACTTGGTGAAGTTTGGATCATAGTCATTTTCGGAACAAGTTCCCTTTGTCCCTTCCATCTATAGAAGTAGAGCTATGCAGGCTAATAACTACCCCCATTTTTCTAAAACATTTAATATTCACCATAAACCAGTGGAACAGTGAAGAACACAAACTCTACAGTCAGAATCACTAGCAGTGTGATTTAAACAGATGTGCTAACCTATCTGTGCCTTATTTTCCCTCCCCATAACCAAGATCTGAAAGTAATTGTCCTCAGTGAATGGTAGTGCTAGTGAGCTTAGTAAATATATGAGAGACACCTGAACGTACCACATACATATTAGCCATTGTTTTTAAATATCCCAGTTTAGCCATACTATAAAAATATCAGAGATGTGAACATTGTTATGTCTAGTAGCTAACTTTCTCATTCCGGATATGGCCCCAGGCTCCCCTGTTAACTATTCAGCCAGCTTCATCAAGCAATATGCCCTCCCCCAAAAAATGAGCCCTAAAACCAATTCCTACGAATTCTAAGATAGGCTTTCTGTACTACTTCTTGCTTTGCCATCCTTTCAAGCCCCTATCTTCATTCCTTACAATACAACTATTTTGTACAAAAAGATGAAGTGTCTGTTAACAGTCTTATGAACAAATGAGCAAATAACTACCATTATAATGCAAAGCTTAGCAACTATACGATTAAAAAAAAAACTAAGTAATGAATGAGTTAATGGGGCACTTGGGAAATAATACCCTACACTCCACAGGAGTTCCTACTTCCTAAAAGAAGAAGGTAATCTTCTTCGTAAAGGGTAGAGAATCCTTAAGACTTGGAAAGGGAAAACAAAGTGGGGCTGGAAAACAGCTAAGACATAGGAAAAAAGGGGTGTGGATGATGGAAGACCAAAGATAAGAAGTTCCACAGAATAAGAGCAGTGCTTCACAAATATGCTCAAATAGACTAGGGCTAGGGTGGTTGCTCCTTAATCACATGAGGAATGTATTTTTTGAAGGGGTACGCACCGGTTGTGTTTGGAGGCCATTCCCAGTGTGATGTTCAAGGACAGAGAAATTTATTGTCTGGGGGTGCGTAATACCCAATAGTGTTCTGGTGGTGCTCCAAGAACCACGTGGCAATGATCCTACATGCAGGGCGTGCACTATAGGCCTTTGAGCTCCTGGTTAGAGGAAATTTATTTTTAAAATACAAAAATAGGGGCCAGAGTGATAGTACAGAGGATGGGACATTTGCCTTACACACAGCCAGCCCAGATTCATTCCCTGGCATCCCATATGGTCCCCCAAGTACCACCAGGAGTAATTCCTGAGCGCAGAGCCAGGAATAACCCCTGAGCATCACTGGGTGTGACCCCAAAAGTAAAAATAATAATAATAAAATACAAAAACAGGGCAAGGGAGATATTACAAAGGGTTACAGATTATTCCTTGCATACAGGAGACTGCCAAGTTCCATCCCCCATACCACATGTTCCCTCAGCACTGCCAGATATGTTCCTGGAGGTCCTTGAGCACCATCAGGGTAGCTTGGGGGCCCCCAGCACTGCTTGGCCCAGGAAGCACCATGTCACTGGGCTTGGGCACTAAATGATTAGGCTCACACTCTGGAAGTAGTTCCCAGGTTCTCAAGCACTTAAGGGAGCCACCACTACCACCACCACCGAAGAGGTTAAAATAGAGGGACCACAGTGATAGCTCTACCTGGCATGCACAGCGACCTGGGAACATATGGCCTGGGTCTGACCCGGGAAACGCCAACTGGGGGATGAACACTATTTCATCAAGTTGGATACAATGGGGTGATGAATACTACTTCATCAAGTTGGATACAATGAATATATCTGTTTGTTATAAGTAAATTTTACCTCAAAAGAGTGGTTATATTAAGAACAACATTTTAAATCCTCTCATCCTAACCTCCCTGTGCAGCTTCTTTTTTGAACTACGGTTCCTTTAAAATAAAAAAAAAAGGAGAAGAAATGGGGTAGGCTGGGGGGGGGGGGGGTATTCTGGAGAGAAATCTTGGTCAGGTTTCATTGTTTGGTTTGGTTTGGTTTTGGGCTTGGGGCTACAACCCAGCAGTGCTCAGGGCTCACTCCTAGCCCTGTGCTCAGAGATCACTCCTGAAGACCTTATGGGAAGGCAGGGATGGAATCTGGATCACTTTACTATCTCTCCAGCCCCAGCCAACTCTCTTTTAGCCACTGTAGATGTTTTAGGAAGGATATAATATGATCACATTTCTGTTTGAGGACAGTGATCCAGGCAGCCAGTGTAAAGAATAGATAAAAATGACAGTGATGCCTACCAAGAGGCTATTGCAGAAAACACGACTGGGTTCTTTACCACCTCTCTTCTTTCTGATCTGAATCTGGGCCATAGAGCTGACCTGCACAGGTTAGAGTCAAGCTACGGGGGAAGCAGAGGTATAGATGCCAGAGTCAGGCAGCACCTGACCATGACAAAAGGATTTCCAGGGCCGGAAAAACAGGTGTGTACAGGAACAGACACAGAAGGCAGAAAAACAGGATCCACAAAAGGAGGAAGGAGGTAGGCTGGGGAATGTGTCACTAAAGCTTGTTGATTCCATCTCCATAATGCATGAATGCTTCTTGCTCTTAATTTCTCCTTAGAAGAGAGGATACACAAAAGGAGAACACCATGTGGCAATGATCACAGAGCTAGAGACGACTGCTGGGAGCCAAGGAACGCCCAGGAGGATGACCACCACTACCAGAAGCTCAGGAGAGGCAGGATGAGGTTCCCCATTGGCTGCAAAGGGAGCCTGACCTGCTTGAGCATGGAGGGCAGATATGAAGCTTCAAGAACAGCTAAAGTAATGCAGTTCTGTCACTTTAAGACACGCAGATTGTCTTAGTCATGATAGTTAGAGAAAACTAGTATGAACACCCAGTGCACTATGGCTATATCTATTACTTGTAAGCTACATGTATCTATACTACTAGAACAAGAGGTTTTAATAAATACCAAAAAAATAGAATTTTAAATGATACATATTAAAAATTAAAAATAAAAATATGAGACATACTGACTGCAAAATATTTAAAAATAATTCTACTTCTCAATGACATAAAATCATACCAAATTGAGGGGGGGAGCTGGAGAGATAGCAGAGAGGTCGGGTAAGTGTCTGTATGCAGTCAACCCCAGTCCTATCCCCAGCACTACAGTCCCCTGAGCATTGCTAGGTGCAGCAGTGGAGTCCCTTAAGAAGCGCCGAGTGTGGCCCAAATAGTCCCCAGCACCAAAGGGTTCAAGCTGCATCAAGGGTCCATGCATTGAAACGCTGGCCCAGTTGGCTGAGAATCTCTGGGAAGGCATCTTGAGTATCACTTGGGAGGGGGGAAAAAAATCTTACAAAGCAGGGTCAAAGAGCTCAAAGACATCCATGTTTGAAACCCAGCAGCTCATGATCCCTGGAGCAACCCCCAAAGAGTGAATGAGAGGCAGCTCCTGAGCTCACGAGGTGTGGCTGAGAAACCAAAACTATAAGTAAACAAAACAAATTAAAAATATTATCAAGCAATGGAACTATGTAAGCAAAAGAAGCCAGTCTGGAAAGGCTGCATAGTATGGGGCTACCCCTGTGTAGCACCTGTATGGAAAAGCTCAACAATGGAGACACGAGAAAGATCAGGAGCTGCCAGCAGTGGGGGGAGGAGCGAGAAAGAGACTGAGAACAGAAGATTTTGGTTTTGTTTGATGTTTTTATTTTTGGTTTTGTTTGGGGAGATGCACTCAGTGCTCCGGGTCTACTTCCAGCTTGTTGCTGAGGGGAGGGGTTATTCCTAGCGGTGCTCAGGAGCCATGCAGTGCCAGGGAACCAACACAAACCTCCTGCAGACAGTCCGCTGAGCTAGCTCACTAGCCAAGGATTTGATTTGGTCATTACCATTGTCACTAGGGTCATGCTTAGTGGTGCTTTGAGCACCTAGCGCCGCTGGAGTCAGGGCTGGGGTCATGCAGTGCCCATCCAAAGGACAGAGGGCTTTTCAGACAAAGTAAACACTCTCTCTGTTACTATAGTGATGGGTAGTATATATGTCTATTTTGGGGGGCGGGGGTTAGGTTTGGGGGAGTTGTTAGTTTTGGGGCTACACCCATGGTGCTCAGGGACCATGCAGTACCCAGGATCAACCCCAGAACCTCTCACATACAAAGCAGGCACTCCAGAGAGTTGAGCTATCTCTTCAACTCTGCACCTATCTTTATTTATCTGCCTGAAAGCACTGAATGGACAAGAGTAGTGAACCCTAATTTCCATGAACTTGGGCAACATGATGTGTCAGTACAGACCAAGCAATCATAACAAATGTACCACTTTGCTGGGTTCCGATACAGGGGAAACCTGTGCTTCTTCCTCGCATGAACCTGAAATATCCCTTTAAATGTATCTTTAATTTTTCAGTGATCATTTTTATTAAGTTTAATTATTTCTTAAGTTCTGGTCAAATATCATGATAAAGAAATGCAAAGATATACTTTTTAGTTCAGTTATTTTTCTACAGATATTTTCTCTAATCATTTTAATATCAATTTTAAATATCCAAGATATCACTGTCACTGTCTTCCCGTTGTTCATCGATTTGCTCGAGCGGGCCCAGTAACGTCTCCATTGCGACAATTGTTACTGTGTATGGCATATCGAATACATCACGGTATCTTGCCAGGCTTTGCCCTGCGGGCGAGATACTCTTGGTAGCTTGCCGGGCTCTCTGAGAGGGGCAGAGGAATCAAACTCAGGTCGGCCATGTTGTCTGCGTGCAAGGCAAACCCGCTGTGCTATCGCTCCAGCCCCGTCCAAGATATAAATTAAACAAATCATATTTTATATTTACAGTGGAAGAATTGTTTCATGGGCTGTGCTTACTTCAATTATGTAAATATTTTACAGTAATTAGATTTTAATTTCCAATAACCCTAATGTTAGTCATTTGATCTTGCAATTAACTAAGACGGAAATGTTACAGTAAGTTCAAAACCCCCTAAAACTCTTCCCTGATAAATTTAAAATAATAGGAAAGTGCATCCTAGCTTTTAAGTATGATTTTAAGAGTGCTTATAGGAAGGCTGGAGAGACAGTTCAGTGGATAGATCTTAGTCTTAAATGTGGCTGACCCTGGTTCAATGCACTGTGCATGGTTCCCTATGCGGGGCCAGAAGTTATCCTTGAGCAGAGTCAGAATTAAGCCCTGGGAACCCCAGGTGTGACTCCCAAAACAAAAAATAATTTAATATAAAAAAATAGAAGAGTGATTACAGACAGAGAAATAGTACAGGGGTTAAGTTTCTTGCATTTATGCATTCAGTCCCAATCAATCCCCAGCACCATTTTATGTTCACCCAAACTATGCCCAATCAAAATATACAAAAAACAAACTCTGAGTAGTTACACATTCCAGCAGAAAACTCCCATCAGGGTAATATCATCTCCAATGAATGATTCTCAAAATTCAAGAATGAGAATTTTGGGAAAGCAGATCCACATTCTAGACCTTGGGGGAAAACATGCTATTCTGTCTCAAAGGAACATAATTATGTTTCTTTTCCTACATCTGTCAGGTAGCATCCCATCAAAGCTTCTTATTATCAGAGGGGAAGAAAGATAAGACACCATTAACTTATGAGAAAAATACAAAAATAAATCTCAACCATGAGCCAAAAATGGGATAAGCTGCTGATTTAGAGACTTTATATAGTGGTATTGACAAATGACATTAGGAGAGAAGTAAACGTTTCAGTCATTGGAACAAAAAGAAATCCCAAAATAATCACATACAAATCAGTCAACATTTTGACAAAAGTGCAAAAGCAAGTCAATGAAGAAAAAATAGTCTTTATTACAGATTATTATTATTATTATTACAGATGGAGTAATTGGCTATCCAAGCTAGCAAAAAAAAAACCCTTATCTTAAAGCTCATACTGTATGAAAAGTTAAAATAAATAAATCAAAGTGGATGACACATTCAGTGTGTGTGTGTGTGTGTGTGTGTGTGTGTGTGTGTGTGTGCGCATGTGTGTTCTGGGCATTGAACCCAGGGCTTCATACATAAGGAAAATGAACTACATTACTGAGCTATACCCCCGGCTCTAGAAATTGCATATTTGTTAAGTGCAAAACTACAAATTACAAAATAACTAGAGACAATCTTGAAGATATGGAACTCAGTAACCTAGATAAGACATATAATGCAACATTCAAAAGAAGAGATATTATTAATATTAAACTTAATCAAAAGTTAAAACTTCTAGGGTTTGGTTTTGGTTTTCTGGTTTAAAAAAATATAAATGTATTTTTCTCCCTCCCCCCTTATTGAGGTACCATGATTTTTAATACTATTATGATAGTAGAAATGAAAAATTCTGGGGGGCTGGGAGAATACAGCAAGTAGGGCATTTGCCCTCCACATGACCAATCTGGGTTCAATCTCCACCGCCAAATATGGTTTTCTGAGTCCCACCAGGAGTGACCCCTCAGCACAGTGACTGCACTAAGCCCTAAGCATTGCCAGGTTGGTCCAAAAATACAAAAAACTTTGTTCTATACAAGACCATGGCTAAATTATTGTGTGTCTGCTAAAGGACAGGCTTAGGGGGTGGCTGGAAAAATGAGGACAATGATGGAGAAAAGGTCACCCAGATGATGGGATTGGTGTTGGAACATCAAAAACCCATAACGACTGTATTATAAATCACTTTGTAAATCATGGCCTTTCAAGTTTTTTTAAAAGATAATTGTTAAGATAATGAAAAACAAGCTACACACTGAGAGAAAATATCTATAAACTACATATTCAATAAAGTACTAGGAAGAAGACTTAAAATGTACAGTTTTAAAATGCAGTTAGGGGTTGGAGGATAACTCAAAGCACTGGTGTGCAAAGCAGAAGATTCAGGTTGGATTCCCAGCACAGCACTAATCCCACGTAGAACCCTCTAGCAGCAACACAGTGGGAGTAGCCCCTGATCACCATTGGGTGCCCCCCCAAACAGAAACAAAAACAGATAAGACTAGTTAAAAAACAAAGTAAAAGACTACATCAAACACAAAAGATTTTGCATGGCAAAAGAAACTACAGTTAAAATAAAAGGATAGGGGCTGGAGCGATAGCACAGCAAGTAAGGGAGTAAGGCGTTTGCCTTGCACGCAGCCAACATGGCCGACACAGGTTCGATTCCCAGCATCCCATATGGTCCCCCAAGCACCGCCAGGAGCAATTTCTGAATGCATGAACCAGGAGTAGCCCCTAAACATCGCCGGGTGTGACCCAAAAAGCAAAATAAATAAATAAATAAATAAATAAATAAATAAATAAAATAAAATAAAAGGATACCCCCACTGAATAGGAGAAAACAATTGCTCAGCATACATCAGATAAATAGCTAATATTCAAGATATATAAAACTCTCACAAATCTCAACAACAACAACAAAAAAAACAGTAAGCCCTTCAAAAAATAGGGAGAGAAGATGAAACACACTTCACTGAAGAACAGCTAGGAATAGTAGGCTTAAGGAAAAGTGCTCAGGTTATCATTTTTTTTTGGGGGGGGGAGGGTGAGAGTGGGATCATACCCGGTGATGCTCTAAAAGGTGAATCTGGTCATATTACTTTCCAAAACCATTAGTTTGGCACACAGTGGCCTTTACGATCTAGCACTGGGCGTTTACTCAGTGTGGTACATACCTGGATAGAAACTATTTGAAGCTTCCAGCTGCACAGAGCTCTGACTGAGATAACCTGGGGACTCGCACAATAATTTAACACCTTATCTCATGCTTACCTCTAATGTGGATCCCATTCTCAAGCAAAATTAGGGATGCAATCAGTCTTTGTGCTAGTAAGAAGTCCATTATCAACCTTTCATTACCTTTGCTTTGAATCTTAGAGTTCAAAGGTGTTAATTTTGTGTGACCCTTCAAACACTAACCTGCAATCACTCCCGCCAGGTACACCAACCCCACCCGGAGGCCTTTGTGGACCATTTCCAGGGGGATGCCCAAAAGAAGCTGCATGATAAGATTCCCTAAGATGTGCTGAATTCTGTAGAGATAAACACAGTTGTCAGATTTCATGACAAAGTCAGGCAGTTACGTCCATAGGAGATTAATGTACTATTGTCTAGTTATGGCCTTCCTTAACTCAAATAAAATTTCCTCATTTTTTTCCCAATACCTATCTCTTCACCAGAGTTCATTTCTCACTACCAAGGTCCCCAGATTCCCTCCCGCCACCACTCCCATCCCCCACCCTCACCCCCAACCTTGCCTCTGTGAGAGGCACTTTTCTTTTCTTTCTTTTTTTTTTAAATGTAGGAGTACTGCTATTTATTCAACCATAGATTAAACTGATTGAATTGAGCATGAATTCCACATTACTTTTTTTTTAATATTTTAAATTGAATATCCGTGGGCTGGAGCAATAGCACAGCGGGTAAGGTATTTGCCTTGCACACAGCAGACCCAGGCTCAATTCCTCCGCCCCTCCTGGAGAGCCCGGCAAGCTACCGAGAGTATCTTGCCCACACGGCAAAGCCTGGCAAGCTCTCCGTGACATATTTAATATGCCAAAAACAGTAACAACAAGTCTGACAATGGAGACATTACTGGTGCCCACTCCAGCAAAATCGATGAACAACGGGAGGACAGCGCTACCATGCTACAGAATATCTTTGAGATAGACCATTACAAAGCTGCTCATAATAATTGTGTTTCTGTCGTACAATGATCCAGCACCAATGTTCCCTGTTTCCCTCCCACCAACCCCCAACACCCCAGATCCCACCCCCAGCCTCCCTCTATGGGAGGCACTTTCCTTCTTGCTCTCTCTCTCTCTCTCCTTTTCCTTTTGTGCATTATGGTTTGCAATACAGGTGCTAAGAGGTCATGGTGTTTGTTCAGGGCGTTCAATATTTTTATCGGGATGTAAGGCTGGAGTAGCTTTTTTATTGAGTGGCAGCTTGGGGAGTGGATGTGACTGCTAAGTTTTCCGGAAGTACAGGAATGTGGGGGAAAGGAAGCCCATTCCGACCCCCAGAAAGCCTAGAGATTTAAGTCACAAAATCCGAATATCAGAATTTTCAGCAGATTATGTCTGATTGAGATCCGTCCTGACATGGTAGAGTCAGGCCAGGGACATGGTGACGATTTTGGATCGTGGGAGCAAGCAGCTGCTAGAGGCTCTGGGCAGGCACCAGGCTGACCCACACGCCTCCGATTTATCCCCGTCTGTTCAGCCTTGTGCGGATCCGAGATTAACTGCAGCTTTTGGTCTTTTTCAAGATTTATATATGGGTCTCTGAAGCAAGACTGGTAGTGGAGCTTACATGGTGGCGCTGGAGTTGGTTTGTGGGGGTGACTGCCAGTGCTTCCAGGAGTATTGGGAAGTGGCAGGCTCTCTCTCTCTCTCTCTCTCTCTCTCTCTCTCTCTCTCTCTGTCTCTCTGCCCTATTTTTAGAAGTAACTTTTTCAAAAATAAAATCTCACATGGAGCTTGAATAAAATGATATGTTGAGCTGTGTATTTACTTTATAAAAAAAAAACCCACATCACACAGAGCAATGAGGTTGGAGATGAATTTCGCACGTGAGGGTTTTAGATAATGATGCCATCTCACACCAGCCTCAGCATCTGATTCTTTTCTCTTGTTTTGTTTTGTTTTTTTCTTTCTTCTTCCTTAGAGTGAGAATTGAGACCACATCCAGTAGTGCTTAGAGCTGGCTCTGTGCTCAGGGGTGACCCTGATACGGTTCAGGGGACCATATAAAGTGTCTTAAACATACACACACACACACACACACACACACACAGCCCTTCTTTTTTTCCCTTTCCTTTTTTTCTCCCTTTCCCCTGTCTGTATGGTTCCAGAGATTGAATTCAGGGTTTCATAAAAGTGAGACACACACATTAGCACTGAATTCTGTCTCCCTGGCCCAGCACCTATGTTTGTTTTGGCTACAAAGTATTGAAAAAAATCCTAATTGATTTGTACTGAGTTTAATTTTAAGAAGATTTGAAATAGGATTCTTGAAATCTCAGGGAAAAAATTAAATAAAACAGAAATATCAATAGAAATTTCATGCCCAGTATAACACTAAAAAACTTTAAAAAATGTTTACCTGGGGGTGAGGTGGAGAGATAGCTCAAAGAGCTGGAGAAATGATTCCTTCAAGCACTGAGCCTGGCAGGAGTAGCCCTCAAACTCACCAGCTATGGACAATTGCACCCCCTCAGTAAAGCTTACCCAATAAGATAGCTAAAGTAGGTATGTCCCATATATTACAATTGGCTTATACATGTTTAAGTTATCATCTTCCCTGCTCTGTGGATTAGTTACCTTTACATTTTATAGCCACGTGTTTATCTGGACATAACTATCATATTCCAAGTCATCTTTAAAGACTTAGCAGTCTGGAAACAACCTGAGTGCCCAAGAACAGAGTAATGGATAGAGAAACTACAGCACGTCTATACAATGGAGTACTACACAGCTGTTAAGAAAAATGAAGTCATAAAATTTGCCTATAAATGGATGGACATGGAGAGTATCATGCCGAGTGAATGAGTCACAAGGAGAGGGACATTTACAGAATGACTGCATTCTTTTGTGGTATATAAAATACAGATATATATATAGTAGAAGACGAACATCCATAACCAGGGAAAACAGGGCTAGGAGGACTGGACAATGGCTGGAATCAACCACAAGTATGTGGAGGGCGGAGGTAAGCTAAGGTAAGAGAGAAGGGATCAGGATGACAATGATAGCTGGAAATTATCACATTGGACAAGAACGAAGTGTTAAAAGTAGGTAAAGGGATATATCTGATAAGCTTTCAGTATCTGTATTGCAAACCACAATGCCCAAAAGGGGAGACTAAAGACCAAAGGGGGCCAGGAGAGAAGAGAGAGAGAGAGAGAGAGAGAGAGAGAGAGAGAGAGAGAGAGAGAGAGAGAGAGAGAGAGAAAGCACCTGCCATAAAGGTAGGCTTTGGGGGGGGGGGGGTTGACGGGAGGGAAACTGAGACACTGATGCTGGGAAATGTACACTGGTGGAGGGAAGAGTGTTGGAACACTGTGTGACTGAACCTAATCATGAACAGCTTTGTAAGGGTCTATATCACAATGATTCAATTTTTCAAAAGTTTTTAAAATAAGGGCTTAGGAGAAGGGGCTGGAGCAATATTAGAGCAGGTATGCACTTGCCTTGCACTCAGCTGACCTGGGTTCAATCCCCAGCACCCCGAATGGTCTCCTGAGCCTCCAAGAAAATGATCCCTGAGCAAAGAGCCAGAAATGAGCCCTGACCACCGCTGGGTGCGACCCAAAACACACACTATTTTTTTTTAATAGAGTACAGTGCAGCAAAACTAGTCTCATGGACTGTTAGCCTCATGGAGTCTTCAGACACAAAGACATCGGAGAAATGTACATCTTGTAAATTTGAACGAAGTCAAAGAAAACCATTTCATTGAGTCCTCTGCGAATAGCTTGTGGACAAGATGACCGACAGCCATCACCTGAGCACTCTTCTGCTGCTCACGAGCACAGATGTGGCACAAAGATATGACCCAAGTGGATATTCTAACTTTTTCAACCAAATTTCATCCGTCTTTCAAGGTCTGGCTTAAACCCAGGTTATCTGGGAAGAGACTGCCATTCCACTCTCTCCCTCTTTCCATTTAAATCACTGAAGCTAATCCTGTGTCCATTTCCCTAGGCCCTGCTGTGGCTCCTCCAGAGAGGCTGGGAAGGCTGATGTTGGCTTTCCCACGCTCTCTTAATAGGGGTGCAGGGCTCATGCTTCCAGTCAATGATGATGTAAGAGCAACAATGTTATGCAAGAGTAAGCTTCGGTCTTGGCAAAAGGGATGGAAGCCCCCAGTGGCTGTACAACCTCAGTTCACTGCTGCTCTAGATGTATTGAGTGCAAACTTGGAACCAGGAGAGACAGGTGGGGGAGAAGCAGGATGTCAGCACAGGACCAAGAGTCCTGACTTCACTGAACTGATGAAGTCTCTTTGGGCTTCCTGGGGGAGGGAGATTAATTCCCTGCTGTTTAAACTCCTGCTAATTTTTTTTCATTATTTGCATCCAAAAGTGTTCTTTACTTTTACAGCTCCATAAGTGATAAGTCCTACACAGTCTTGCAAACGAGGACAAAAGGGGAAAGGTTAGAATTGGACTGTCAGTTCAGTGTTTAACCTAAGGTTACAATGCTATACAATGCAGATTTGTGATTGCTGCACACCTGAACCTATATAATGCTAGAAGGCAATGTAATTTCAACTTAAAACATTTAAAGGGGACCAGAAAGATAGTACAGGGATTAAGGCACTTATCTTTCATGCAACCAGCCTTGGTTCAATCCACAGAGCAGAGAGACAGGAGAAGCCCCTAAGCACTGCTGGGTATGGCCCAAAATATAAAATTTGTTAGTTAAAAATAAAAAGCAGATTATAATCATCATTTTAATTCATCGAGCAACCTTATAAGTACAATTAAGCCTCAGTTGTGGAAACTGAGACATGAAGAGGTTAGGTACCATGACACTATTTTAGACTGCAACACTACCTTTCATTTTACTTAACTAATTGTTTTTCCTTATAATTTTATTCATTTATTTAATAATTTTGTTTTAGGGAAACATCCAGTAAGTCTCAGGAGCTACTCCCAGTCTGGATGCTCGGAGGTCCCTCCTGGTGGAACTTAAGGGACCATGAACCAGGGGTTCCCACATACAAAGCATTCTCTCCAGTCCTTTCCCCAGTCCCTCCTTTATAACTTGTAAGTACTTGAGTACAGAAGCCATATTTTCTGAGGACATATCTGTTAAATTGAAATCAAATTATGAAATTGCAATAGAAATTTGACTATTGGCCATTTTGTCCTTTGCTTGTGAAATCGCTTAGTCCTGTGTCCTTCCATAAATGGCCATGGGTCAAAATTGTCATCCTTTAAGGTCCAGACTGGGCAGGTCACAGAGATAAAGTTGGCCCCACTGAAACCCCCTGGAGCACAGCAGAGAGGTGGTATCGTCAGGGAGCTGCTCACAGTAGCAGGTGTGGTGAAACAGGATTCTAAGCAAGGCTATAACAGATAGACCGTTTGCATATAAGAAACCAACAACAAAAGCAATCACCCACTACATCTCCTACTGCTTAAAAGATGTAGACCAGGCATGTGGCAGGCAGGCAGGCATGAGGAAGGGAGGAAGGGAGGACGGGAGGAAAACGAAAGGGAGGAGGGAAGGAAAGAAGGAAGGAAGGAAGGAAGGAAGGAAGGAAGGAAGGAAGGAAAGAAGGAAGGAAGGGAGGAAGGAAGGAAGGGAGGGAGAGAGGGAGGAAAAATGGAAGGAAGGAAGGAAGGAAGGGAGGGAGGGAGGGAGGGAGGGAGGAAGGAAGGAAGGGAGGGAGAGAGGGAGGAAAAATGGAAGGAAGGAAGGAAGGAAGGAAGGAAGGAAGGAAGGGAGGGAGGGAGGGAGGGAGGGAGAGAGGGAGGAAAAATGAAAGGAAGGAAGGAAGGAAGGAAGGAAGGAAGGGAGGGAGGGAGGGAGGGAGGGAGGGAGGGAGGGAAAGAAGACTAAAGATTCCTATCTTTAAGAGCTTTAAACAACTAGGGGAGGGCCAGGATATGGTCCAATTGTAGAACCTGGAGTGTTCAGGGTTCCTGGGCTCGATCGCCAGTATCACACACACTAAAACCCAGCTAGAAAAACATTCTTTAGGTTTGGTAGCGATTGGGTCTCTTCTCACTAGTAATCCTATTTAAAGACCAGTATGATGGCAACAATAATGCAATAGTAGGTGCACCAGGCTTAGAGTTAACATTAATGAGCTGAAATCCTATTTTTTGCAACGGAGCTGTATGACGAGGTACAGTGATGATATACTAAGTCTCAGACATAAAGCAGCTGGGTAGCACCTGTCTCCTAGGTTGCTTTGAAAATCAGATAACATGAAAGTTCTTCAGCAACAATAGAGCACCAGGTAAATGAGGAGCTACAATTCCTTTTTTTCCCCATTACCAGGGGTCAAACCCAGGCCCTCCTATATCAAGGCAAGTGCTCCATCACTGAGAGAGAGAGAGAGAGAGAGAGAGAGAGAGAGAGAGAGAGAGAGAGAGAAGAAAAGTGCAGGCAGGGGGTCAGGAGGCGGGAGGGAAACTGGGGATACTGGTGGTGGGGAATGTACATGATGAAGTGGTGAAGGGATGGGTGTCGGAACATTTTAAGACTGAAATCCAATTATGAATAACTTTGTAACTGTGTATCTCATTGTGATTCAATTAAAAAAATTAAGTGCTCTACCACTGAGCTACATTCATGGTCCCAGGAGTTTCCATTCCTTGTCATCACCTCTACCAACAGTGACTTCACTGCTGTATCTTACCCAGCGTGTACCAGCATGTATGAGATAAATCTCCAGGCTTCCTGCCTCTTCAAAGGGTGGTAGGTGAAGGGACTCTCCAAGATGCCCATGTCCAAGGTGATCCATTGATTCTGGGGCTTCCACACAGCATAGTAAACAAACACTGCCAGCTGACAAGTGGGGACAGATATGAAGGTGAGTCACGCCCTGAATACTGACCGGAGTGGCCCTAGCAGTGCCAGATGATTAGCTCTCCAGTGGCCACTCCATGGCACATTCCAGGACAGAAATGAACATTCCTATCACAAAAATGCATCTGTCATTATTGCCTGCTTCCTCCTGAGAGAAGGAAAGCCCTAGACCAAAGTGTAAAGACTCTGAAGGTGGAAGTTGACAGTTCACTGCAACGTGGATGGAGCTAGGGAGCATCACGCTAGATGAAGAAAGTCAAAGTGAGGAGAACAAATACCAGATGATCTCACTTATCTATGGTTTAAAAACTACAAACAAAAAAAACCAAACAAACAGGGGAATAGACAGTGTCAAATGATGATAAACCCTTAATCTTGGACTGCAAAACTGACATTACAAGGAGTGGGGACGGGGGATATGAAGAGGTTGACTAAGGTGACAGGGTCGTAGCACTTCGATGGTAGGGAAGGTGCAGTGATTTTGTACATCAAAACCATAACTGTTGGGGCTGGAGAGATAGCACAGCGGGTAGGGCGTTTGCCTTGCACGCGGCCGACCCGGGTTGGATTCCCAGCATCCCATATGGTCCCCTGAGCACCGCCAGGAGTGACTCCTGAGTGCAGAGCCAGGAGGAACCCCTGTGCATTGCCAGGTGTGACCCAAAAAGCAAAAAATAAATAAATAACTGTTAACTATATTGTAACCATGTTATTCAAACTATAAAACTTTTCCTTTTTTTTTCTTAAAAACTCTTTCTAAGGGTCTAGAGCGATAGCACAGTAGGTAGAGCATTTGCCTTGCACGCGGCCGAACAAAGTTCAATTCCCAGCATTCCATATGGTCCTCTGAGCACCGCCAGGAGTAACTCCTGAGTGCATGAGTCAGGAGTAACCCCTGTGCAATGCCGAGTGTGGCCCCAAAAGAGAAAAGGAAAACCACTCTTTCTAAACTCTTTTCCCTCTTGAAATCCACTGGCCTCATCTTCCCCCAATTGGTCTTTCACTTACAGCTTAACATGAAATAGTGTCACTGCTGGCTTTCAAAGCATAGAGCAGGGAAAGAGGACAACAGAACCTTCCCAAATTTGAAAAGTTTGACCTTCCCCAAGTGATGAAGGCTAACATCTCCAGAGATATCTCACGGCAGGGCTGGAGGAAGGGATCCCTACTCCCTGACATGAGGTGATGAGATAAGAAAGGGCATTTCACTGCTGGGGTGTTCTCCCCCACACTGCTAACTTAACCTGTGTTGTCATAAAGAAAAGAAAGAGAAAGAAAGAAATAAAGAAGGAAGGAAGGAAGGAAGGAAGGAAGGAAGAAGAAAGAAAGAGAGAGGAAGGAAGGAAGGAAGGAAGGAAGGAAGGAAGGAGAGAGAAAGAGAGAAAGAGAGAAAGAAAAAAGAAAGAAAGAAGAAAGAAAGAAAGAAAGAGAGACAGAGAGGAAGGAAGGAAGGAAGGAAGGAAGGAAGGAGAGAGAGAAAGAGAGAAAGAAAGAAAGAAAGAAAGAAAGAAAGAAGAAAGAAAGAAGAAAGAAAGAAAGAAAGAAAGAAAGAAAGAAAGAAAGAAAGAAAGAAAGAAAAAGAAAGAGGGAGGGAGGGAGGGAGGAAGGAAGGAGAGAGAGAAAGAGAAAGAAAGAAAGAAAGAAAGAAAGAAAGAAAGAAAGAAAGAAAGAAAGAAAGAAAGAGACCAATCTCTGAGACCGCAGCACTGCCAGGCTGAGCAGTAAGGGAACTCTGGAGAAGGCAAACTTGGGGCAGGGGGTGTATGTACATCGGCAGGGTTACTCGCCCACTACCCTACATATTTACCTCCAATATACTGATGAGGATGATGAACAAAGGGGGTGGCATGCAGGTGGCTCTATCAAGGTATGCCATTCGTTTGCGTTCAGGAAGCATCCATTTTGAGACAATCCTATAGACTTTTTTCTTCTTGATGGGAGGTTTGCCTTCTGCTCCTGGTTTCTCTTCTTCCTCCCGCTCTGTTTTAGCACGTTCTTCTACATTCAAATCCATCTCCTCCAACTCCAAATCCGAAGTAGCTGCCATCCTCCTGTCTCTTCTCTCTATCTGAAAGGGACATGAAGGTCAAGGGCAAGCCAGGTGACTCTGTAGTCGGCGGCCATGGCTATTTCCTGGGCTCTCTGGCACAAATGCCATTTTCCAAGGTCTTTAATGTGAATAGAGGGTAGCGGATGACTTGGTACACTACTAATCTTCATATCCAGTCCTCTTCATTAGAGTCTAATTGCGACATAGTACTAGGGTCTCTTCCCAAATGAAAGAGAAGGTTTTCTTGGCTCACTTAAGATTTCAGCCACCACGGGGGAGACAGATGGGAGCCTGGAATTACCACACTCCCTGGTATACCCCTTCCCTCGCCCCTCCTCCACACCCCACCTCCCTACCTGCCACTAACTTTCAAGTCTACCATTAGTGTAATTGCTGGCTTAGCCAGGAGTTGTACATCTCAACACACAAACCATTTGTTCAGTTCAGACTGTGGAAATGAACTCAGTTTGGCTAGCTGCAGTCTCCTTTCCCGTCTTAGTGCCATTTTGCTTCGACTCTCAGGCTTAAAATTTTAAAGTGTTTGTCGAGCATCTATGGTGTACCAGGCACTGTGCTGGAGACTTGCAGCTCTACTGATGCTCTGGGCCTCTCCAACAAAGCAGGAGGGAAGGTCTTAAAGATCCACTTATGGATTTTAAGAATTGCGCTTCTCACCATCACCCACAAAAGATTCAAGTCTACATATTCTCTTTTTAAATTTTCTGTCTTTGCAAAATTACCATTGCAGCCCCATTCTATAAGGGGGCCATTCCCATTCCTAGTAGATTCTCCAGGTACAATCTCATTGATCACTGTAACTAATATATATATATATATATATATATATACATATATATATATATTACCTTTTTTGTTCTCATCCAAAGTTCCTGGATCACAGTTTTCAAAAGTTTTACTGTTTCCTAACTGTAGAGAATGATAAACGTGTTTCTCATTATGTTACTAGTGGGACTCTAGGAGGTAGGATGAATGGGGGCTTGTGAACAGCTAATGACCAGTGAGTTAGTTACTGGGCCTCTGCACGAAGTCCCCATAAGCACTCCAAAGGGGGGCCCACATGTTCAAAGGGCTGGAGTGCCCTGCTCATTGACTTTAGGGAAGAAGAAAATTTTCCTTTTGTTTCTTTCTCCAGAAATTTTCCCCCAGAAAGGCTTCTGGACTGGGAGATCACCCAGTAGGCTTGACCTGCATGCTTTGCACATGGGAATCCTGGGTCCAGTCCCTGGAGCACAAAGCAGTGACCCCCCAAGCACCTAGCTGCTGAGCACCTCTGAGTATGAATAAAAAACAAACAAAAATAAAGACTTTCCCTCCCCTACAGCTTCCTCCCTCCCACTCCCTCCCACTCAGCCAATTTCCCAGTGTCAGACATTAAGTTCTTAGTTATATCTATTTCACTTCTTTCCCCCTGAATAATCATAATTTCATAGGTTTTGTCACTTCATAAGTTGACAGGACACCACATTTAGGATCAGGCATATTAAAGCATTAAAATTTTAATTCAAATCAAATAGCTCAATGGGCTAAGCTTATGCTTTGCAAGAGGATGTCCAGAGTTTAATCCCTGACATCATGTGGTCCCCGAGGCACAGAGCCAAGAGTGGCTTCCAAGCACTGAGCTGGGAGTAGCCCCTGAGCATCACCAGGCGTGGCCTCAAAACAACAACAAAATTAGTTCAATTAAGGATGACCAATATTCATAAGCTTTATTATAAATTTAAATAAGACATAAGGTCATTTTATGAGGAAGTAAAATTCCATGTTGTTGACAATACAAATTTAGAGCTCTGAAAGGATCTAGCAAGAAATGGATTACATTTCCGGCAAGTTTTTCTCCTTTCTCCGGATTTCAAAATTTTCAGAAACTGCATAACATCTGGCCCCCAGTTTCCGAGGTCTCAGTGAGACATTTCTTGTGCTGCCAAGACCTCTGACTGCTCAGTGTCCTGAGACTCGTGTGTCTGCTTCTTCCTAGATGGACACCATCACAGGACCTGCCGTGTTCCAGCTACTGAAGGCGTGTTCCTGCCCCAGCAGTGCTGCCGGCATGTGGTTGGGGTGTTTGTTTTACCTTCTCTGCTCTCTCCACTCTGACTGCCCCTGGCACTTGCCCATGGACCCTGCTTCCAGAGGACAGGGGTCTCTCCAGTTCCTCTCCTCTCTAATGTCCTGCTTGGTGCTCAGAGGTGCTGCTTCCGGTCTGCCCCTCTCTGCCTCTCCCACTTCCGTGTCTCTTCTGCCCCCGCACCTCAATTTCTGAGGACAACCACCACCTGGTAAACATTACTAATCAAGTGGGTACCAAAGGAACAGATTAATCCATCCTGAGCAGGCTATGAGGAAATCCATGTGACTCTGAGGCACAACTTGATGCAATTTTTGAGAAAGGCAATTGGATAATTACCTGTCTATAGAATATAAAACACATCTGCCCTCCCACAGAAACACCCTACTCCTAGAAATCCAGCCCTCAGATGAATATGAATATGAACAAGTCCACGAAACTCTATTGCAAAGATGGTTGGTGTAGGCCCATTTCAGCCTGAAACTTATACAAGTTTCAAGTTTGTTTGCTTATGTGTTTCAGACAATTAGTTGTTTTTTTTTTTTCTGACAAGAAGCTGAAATCTACCCCTGGGCTCAAGATGTCCCTCTCTAGGGCTTCGCCAAGCAAGACTGATCTAAGATCCCATCATTAATTTTGCCCTTGCATGGATGTGGCCTACAGACCCCCTGGGATCTGGGTGTCAGCTGCAGTAAAGCTGTGGTTTGCAACCATTTCACCTCTGGAGCTCCGAACTGGTCCTGGACTGGAAGCCCAAAACACCTACCACAGCCCTCCCCAAATCAAGTCAAATCAAACACAGATAATACATGATACTGTGGAGGTTGAAGAAAGGACATCATAGATGGTAAATGGAGAGGCCAGGATACTGGAAGGCACCCAGACCCATCGACTTACACTGTCCAATAAAAAACTTCTTAAACATCTGAGTTCTGTATGCAAACCTTTTATACAATTCTCAAGAAACCACAAGCTCAGGAACAAATCCACTTTCGAGCTAACACACATGAGTGTGAGTCCTCAGGAATCAAAACTGAATCATCCTGTTGCGAATATTCCCATTCTGCCAGCTGGAGTAGACAGCGAGAATGCCCCTAGATTTATGTTGAAAAAGAGAGGTTTCAGGGTCGGAGTGATAGTACAGCGGGGAGGCCTTGCACATGGCTGACCTGGGTTCAATCCCCTGCATCCTATATGGTTCCCCAAGCACCTCCAGGAGTAATTCCTGGGTGCAGAGCAAGGAGTAACCCCTGGTTATGCCGGGTGTGACCCAAAAGCAGAGAGAGAGAGAGAGAGGGAGAGAGAGAGAGAGAGATTTCTTCTCTTATACCTTATCATCTGTATCTTTTCCATTTGGCTATATTAAGCTGTGTCCTTTATAATAAACTGGTGGGAGTAAAGCACTCTCCTTAGTGCTGTAAGTCATTTTCAAAAATTACTAGACTTGCAAAAGGGTCATGGGGTCACCCTACCGGCAGCAATTTAAGGAGACTCAGCAGCAGTGCCCAGGGAGTCCAGGGACCGTTGCTGATTATACTTGGCCAGTTGGCAAGATTCTACACTTGGCTCTGGCAACGCAGAGCTGTTTAGACCCAGCAGTGCTGAGTGAGGCCAGGGGCGGGGGGCAGGGGGAGGCACCGGTGCCACTCTATCTCCAGGGCTACACACCTGGTGATGCTTAAGGATCCTATTCAGTGTTGGGGACTGAACTCAGGTCCTCACGCATGCAAGGCATGCGCTTCTGACTTCTAAGCTATCTCCCTAGTCCTAGGACACTGCAGTTGACACTCCAGTTTATAGTCAACCAGTCAGAAGTACTGAACATTCAGCTTCACAGCTGACGTCTGAAGTGGAGAGCTCTTGTGGGACTGAGCCCCTGCATGGCACGGTTAGTGGTAGAGAAAACCCACACAGCAGATGCTGGAAGTGTCTGTTGTAGTAGAGAAACAGCTTTATTTTTTCACTCCCCAAAGCCCTTTTCATGAAAGTCATTTACAGATTTAATATATCAGAATCTGCTCTGTCTTTTGCAGCCAAGAACCTGACTAAGACACCTGAATAGCCAAGAAACTCTTTTAAGCTCTCTCCGGGGTTTCATATGAGTGAAATTTGTCTCTTGTTCCACATTTGGGAAACACAGCTCAAAGAGAGCACAGAACCAGGAGGGCTGTTTTTGGGTCTTGACTGCCACATTCAGATTACGAGACCTGGAACAAACCCCTTCTGACTGTGAAGCAACCACTTTCTCACCTGCTCAGTGAGCAGTCTGCAGTGGGGCAGCATTTTCCCAGAGTGGCTCAACACCAGAATCCCCTCCAGTGCTCATTTTTAACATGTACTTGTCATGCAGGCTCCTGGCCTCCCCCCACCCCACCCCCAATGCCCGCCCCAAGAAATTAACTTGATCCATTGGGCAGATCTCTGAACAGACACTGCTGAGGGGCAGGACGTGGCACCTGGAGGACCACTGCCTAAGGATCTCCTGGGCCGCTCTGTCCCCACTCTGTAACCTTCCAGTAGAAGTCAGAGACAGTTTTCACTGCTGTAATCCTTAGGCCCAGAAAGTTCCCAGCCACAAAAGTGTTAGAAAAAACTTAGACCAGGGTGAAGAGTGAACAAAAAGTCTCTTCAATTTTTTTGAAAATTGAAAATCATTTCAAAACTAAAAGTATATTGAAAATAATAGAGTTGGGCCTGGAGAGTGGTTCAATAGGGGACAGCTCAATCAACAGGGATAAGCATGAGCTCCGCCTTGCCCGCAGGAATCCAGAGTTTGATCCTCAGCAATGCTCAGCCCCTGAACACTGCTGGGAGCAATCCTCAAGTCCCAAGCTAGGAGTAAGCCCTGAGCACCACCAAAGAGTGAACGCCAAACAAAACATTAAAGAAACAGGGGCTGGAGCAATAGCAC